CTTGTCCACGCGGCTGTCCGTGGGAATGCCTGTGCCGCTGGTCTGGACCCAGGGAGTACCATCAGCATCGTACTGGACATCGTCATCCTCATCCACCTCCGCACCATACTTGTCTGTGTAGAGTTGCTTCACTTCGGCCAACTTCTGCTGAAGGCTCTCCACACGGTGGTCACAGTCTAACAGCCCACCTTTTGGCCAGGAAGCGGCATGCATATCGTGCTCCACGTCATGGCCAGAGTGTTTGCGGAAGTAGAAGGCTTGAAAGCTGTCAGAGCTGTCAAAGCATTCTTCTTCATCTTCAGGAATTGACAGCTGCCTTGTAAGTAACGGGAAGTGCTCTTCGTCGAAAGGGTGTTCCGAGTACCCTATAGGAAGCCGGAACGGCTTGTGGTCCGGCGTTGCCGGGGCCGTGCTCGCCTGCGAGAGAGGCGTTGACGTAGAGGTAGCCTCTGCGTCCTTCTTCGTGGGGTCGGGGCTCGCGGGCTCATGACCGGCGAGCCCCGCAGTCGCTATCTGAAGCTCCAAGGCACGAGGAACAAACATTGGCATCTTGAGTTCGGACTCAAAGAAAGGGAATGCGGAGAGCGGAATGCAGGTGAGCTCGAGCTGAAAACGGCACTTCAGCCACAGCAGTTCGGGAGCTTTCGGCTCAAGGCAAGAGCCCATACAAACAAACATACATACGTACATACATACATGCATGCATGCATATAGACATAGATATAGACATAGATATAGATATAGGTATAGATATAGATATAGATATAGGTATAGGTATAGGTATGGATGTAGATATAGATATAGATATAACTATAACTGTAACTAGAACTGTACACAGCTTGAAAACTCACGTACGTACATACATACATCGTATATATGTATCTATCTATGTATAGATGTGGCCATTTATCCATGTGTTACCGTTTATAAGGCAAGCTGAGCCGGAGTGCCTCTGTGTGCGGACCACCGAGATGACCGGAATCGGCGCAGCAAGGAGCCTCACCATGGTCTCCCGGAAACTTCAGGGCCTGGGAGAGTGCATCGGATGGCCGATTCGGGGGTTTCCGAAACATAGGGGTTTAGGGTTTAGGGTTTAGGGTTTAGGGTTTAGGGTTTAGGGTTTAGGGTTTAGGGTTTAGGGTTTAGGGGGACCCTGAAAGTAGAGGCTTGCTGCGTGAAGGGCTCTTTGCTCAGACGCAAAGTGAAGCCGCGGCCATGCCACGTTGCACGACACTCGGCCTGCAAACGAGGCCCTGCCCAATGTTCAGAGAAAGACATAAGAAAACAAGATCATGGCTCTTGCTACAGGGAACGCCCCACGCCTTCAAAGGTTTCCGACAACAAGCGCTAAGGCAACACAACTGCGGGAAGCTTGGTGCTTGTGCAGTCATGCGAGAGCGGCAACTTGTGGGAAGGTGGCCCCCGAGGCATCCCGAGCTTCCACTGGCAAGCGAAAGAGCAGCGCAGGTCGAGCCCGCGGCTTGCGACATCTGCTCCTGACATCACATATCCGACAAGAAGGATGTGAAAAACGAGAGAGAGAGAGGGAGAGAGAGAGGGAGAGAGACAGGGAGAGAGAGAGGGAGAGAGAGAGGGAGAGAGAGAGGGAGAGGGGGAGAGGGAGAGTGAGAGGAAGAGAGGGAGAGAAGGAGATTGAGGAGACGCGAGCAGCCCACAGTCATGATGGCAAGCCCGCACGGGGATGCAGGGCTTGCTCAGCGTCACTTGCATTTATTGCCAAATGACCGCGCGCCTCGGTTTACCAGCCTCACTCTTTCGAAGACCAAGTGAAGGAAGAGCAGCATCGTCCTATCGCATGTGGACGATATGGAAACATTAATGACAAGGAATGGTTTTGAAGGAGTGGAATCATTTATGAAGGGAGAGAAACTGAAACCAAAAACCGAAGGACCAAAGACAACCACAGTAGGAAGCCCCTAATGGAATTTTTGCGCCACATAAGAATGATTGACTTGTGTTTGAACTGAAAAGGAGCCTCTCCCCAGAAGCTTCCCTGTCCAGCAGACAATGGAAAGGCGTTTCGTGCCAAGAAAGGGGCCCAAGCATTCCCGACACACGGACCGCCGATACTAACCGCGATGATGTCAATAGTGTAGACGAAGATGAGATGTAGATGACGAAATCAGGAGTGGCAAATGCAGGAGCACAAAGGAACCACAGAATTAGTGTCGCCACAAGTCTGGCTGAAGAAACAACTTGCCAAACCTCTGAAAAGCTCAATCATCAACGCGTCAGCATTTAGGCCTTGAGCTGTTCACGCGGTCCTACTACTTACCTGCTTAGCACCCCGACTTGACGAATGTCGGTACGGAACCAGACTACAAACTTAGAGCCTCCAGCAAAAGTTCGAACTGAATTAATTGGGTTTGACGAAACCCAACGTCTTAAACCTGAACCCTATAGGCCCTGCACGGTAAAACCTGAACGGTAAGCAGCCCTCGCGGAACGCCCGGCATCGAAACAGGATTTTGGAGTCAAACTGCGCGCCTCCCTAGTCGCGTTTTCGTGCTTATGACCCTGGGACCCACAAGCGAACCGTACGATACCATCGCATCTCATTCAAGGGTTTCCTCCCAAAAATCCTCCACTTGTGAGGATCGTCTAGGCATCAGGCTAGGGTTTTTAAGGTTTTGGGTTTAGTAATTTAGGGTTGAGGTTTAGGGTTGAGGGTTGAGGGTTGAGGAGGAGGTCCCAACCTCCCCGCAGCCCAACCCCCACCAAAAAATTGAGCCCAAGCAGGAGGGGGCCTCAGGAAGCGGGCAGGCTGGAGCATGCGGAGAAGGAGAAGCTCCACAAGCAAAGCCCGACGACCTGATGAGTGGAGAGACACCTAAGCTGGAGGCTCCAGCCTCCCCAAAACCAGTGGTTCTGAAGAACCCTCACGTGATGAACCTAGGGCCCCTCCAAGAAGTGGCATCTGGAAGTGGGCAAGAGAGAGCCCCGACGGATGGGCAGCCTCCGAAGGGAAAGGGCGGCCCTACCAAAGGGCGAGGCAAAGGAGAGTATCTGCTAGAACGCAGAACGGAAGCCCAGAGGAACAAACTTCATTGAGCGTTGATCTTTGCAATGGTGGGTGCTGTCTTTCTACAATGGTGGCTATGAATTGCGGCATTGTGGTGGAAGTTTTGCTTTTCTGGCTTATGGACGAATCCGTCAGTGCATGTTACAAAAAACATTTTGCGTTTATGACTATGCGGGCTGCCATGATGGGCACCGGGATGCCACATTGACCTCCTCGTGTCCTGAGCCCGCGGGAATGTTTCACCCGTTTGTTTGGTCGGATCTGGTCTTGGTTTCTGCGGTTCGTGTTTGGTTTTTTGGTTTTTGCCTGCGCGTTTTGGCTCGCTACCGACTCGTTTCACTGATTTGGCAAAAGACCTGCCTACTGGGCTGCTGACGCAGTAAAGAGGCGACCGTTCAAAAGAAACAGCACCATTCCGTGATCAGCGGATAACAGGCAGGTTCAGCGGCACCGGGCACAGCGGAGTGCACACGAGTGCCGCACGATCAAGTTGGGCGTACACCGCGTCAACCCGTGCAGCGCACGCACCTGCAGCAGCAGGCGGCACAAGTTCACAACTGCTGCGGCAGAGGGAACGACTCGACAACAGCGATGTGAGTCCTTGAGTAGCGGGCGGACAGACCCCGACCAGAACTGGAACAGCTGAGATGGTACACCCAAAACAGCTCAACAGGCCATGGCTCAAGCGGAGAGCAAACAAGAACAGAAAAAAAACCCAAAGTTCACAACCGACCTGCGAGCCAAGGCTGTCGTACATGCTATGCCGTTGCGTGCAGGCAGTTTAACCTGTTTAAACCCCATTGTACAAGTCGTACATGCACGCTTTTCCCATTTTGAGAGTGGTTTTGTGTTGCGTTGTGTCGTGCTGTGTCGTGTCGTGACGTGTCGTGTTGGCGTGTGCGTGAATGTGAAATGTGAAATGTGAAATGTGAAATGTGAAATGTGAAATGTGAAATGTGAAATGTGAAATGTGAAATGTGAAATGTGAATGTGAATGTGAGTGTGTGTGTGTGTGTGTGTCTCTCTGTGTGTGTCTCTCTGTGTGTGTGTGTGTGTGTGTCTCTGTGTGTCTGTGTCTGTGTCTCTCTGTGTCTGTGTCTGTGTCTGTGTCTGTGTCTGTGTCTGTGTCTGTGTCTGTGTCTCTGTCTGTGTCTGTGTCTGTGTCTGTGTCTGTGTCTGTGTCTGTGTCTGTGTCTGTGGGGGGTCTGTCTGTGTGTCTGTGTCTCTGTGTCTCTGTGTCTCTGTGTCTCTGTGTCTCTGTGTCTCTGTGTCTCTGTGAGTCTGTGTCTGTGTCTGTGTCTGAGTGTCTGTTGTTCCGGTGGGGGGAGGGGGGCTTTGGCATTCTTGGGCTCCAAGTGCTCAAAAAGCCAAGGCTTTGGAGAAGTTTGGGATGCGGCCCGCGGTTGGAGCTTCTGGGCCCAAGCCCTCCCCGGCCTCCGTACCCAAGAGCAACTTTTTGTGCAGTGTTCTGATCTTGTCCATTCGGCCATTTTTTTGGGGGGATGGCTTAGGGATTAGGGTCTAGGATGGTTAAGGCGGCTAAGGCACTTGGCAAAAATGGCTGACAGCGCGAGTCTCGCGACAAGCTGCAGTGCTTTCTGATGACCATGCGAACCACCGGCGTTGAGTCGGCTGCCATTACTCGTACGTGTCAAGGTAAACCTGGTGCCAATCGGGCCACACGGATGAAACCCTTGGGAAATCGCCGGGCCAGAGTCTTTCTTGTCTTAGAACATCTGAGAACTTCGAAGCATGAGTTACTTGCACTTGTCTCGGCCCAGCGACGCAATGGCTTGAGGCATTCGCTGGAAATTTGGGCCAGCCCCGAAGTAAACGATATTTTCAAAAACTTTGCCACACGAGTGTCAGGAATGAATCCTGCCTGGCCCGCTAGTCTGTGACACAAGATGAGGACGAGGCCATTGTGAAACGGAAATCATGAACGCACTCTTCCACCTCACTGTCGATCCCCGGCTTTCACTTCTGATGTGCGAGCCTTGCACGCCTTGTGCATCTCGTAGGCGAGCTTCAGGAGGACCCCCCCGCCCGCCTGACCCACGCCAACGATGATCGACCAGCCCAGGCCACCACCTGGTCAGGATTTAGGGTTTAGGTTTAGGGGTTTAGGGTAGCCCAAGCCCTCACCTTGTAGCTCGCTCAGAGTGGCCATGAGGTAGTAGGTCAATTGAAAGACATCCTCCCCGGCAAAGTGAACAGCCTCCAAGAACCTCACATGCGAGTCTCAAACAGTGAATACGACATCCGAACATGTTAGACCTGTTGGTATCACTCGCTCAGTATGTGCACGATGAGACGAACTGCTCCCTGGAAACAGGCCGCCCTGGACGGGAAGGGCGGGTCAAAATCGAACCCGCGGGCCGCTTAAGCCGACCGAGTTGCGTGCACACCACCTGTGTTTGGCTCATGTCACTCCCTTCAAGCTCTGACTTTAATAAGCCTAGACCCTAAACCCTAAACCGTTTCGACGGCCAGCCTGCCAGCCCTCCCGGTTGGCCCGAGGCGGATGATGCGAAGCATTACATAGGGCCTGAGGGGGCTCTGAACAGGAACCAAACACTGTCCCCTAAACCGCAAACTCCCTGAAACCCGTAAACCTCCACCACAATCCCGTAATGTAGCATGCGCACTTGCACGTTTACCTCCAGCAGAGCAGCCAGCGAAATCTCCGGTTGTTGCGGTGATTAGGAAGGACACAGCCATGCTGACCCAAGACGTAGATGGCCAACTCGACGAGGAAGAGGGCGACACTGGCAACTGTCGTTCCTAACAGGATGTCCCTCACCTGAAGTCAACCAAGCAGGCTTTTGGCTCATACCCTAAACCCTTAAATCCTTTCCCTAAACCCGAAACCCTTAAAACCTAAACCCTTAACCCCTAAACCCTATAGTTCAAATGTGCTGGAAACCTTGACAACCGATCAAACATTCAGATCAGTGGCAAAGCCACCATCATTGGTGAAGTCAAGATCACCGGTAGCGTACGCACCGGCCCATCCCACAACATCAAGAACGCAGTCAATGGCCTCAATGCTTTAGAGTTTACGGTTTAGAGGGATGTTAGGATGTTTAGGGTTTAAGGATTAGGGTTCGGGGCTTGGGGGATTTAGGACAATGGCCTCGACAAACAAGAAGCCTCCTTCCGGCTCTACATCAAGGCTCCACTTCCTTGTCTGGCCCCCACGAAAAGGGTAAATCGTTAGGGTTTAGGGTTTTGGCTTGAGGGTTTTATGTTGGAAGCCCAAGTAATTATCGGCCACCCTAGACCCTGAACCTATGGGAGGGTGGCCATCGTGATCACTGACAAGCAGGCCATTGGGTTTTTCCAAAAACTGCATCTCCCCCTATGAGAAACGCCACCAAGCATCGTGACTAGCCAAAAAGTTCCACACACGAAAGCTGCAAACGACGCGATGAGTAGCGACATCTCAACGGACACAATGAAAGCCTGACCATCTTCTGGAGGCCTCGGACAAATAAAAGTGATGTCTGGCGTTTGGTTTGGGATCTGTCTTTGATACCCCTGGGTAGGGTTTAGGGTGCTGGGTTTTGGGTTTACGATGGTTTACGGTTTGGGCTTTGGTACGGATTTAGCGAAAAAAAACCGAACAAGGCGCCGGATTTCCATTGCCCGGAACTCGAGCGCATGATAGGTCACTGCCAGACGTCGGCCGCCAGTGTCCTTTAGGGCTTGGAGTTGATGGTTTTGGGAGCTCTTGGGTGTGGAGTTTCAGATTTGGGGGTTTAGGCTTTTGTAGCTTGGATCCATGAGCGAAATGCGACGGCACAACCCTGAAAGTCAAACCTCTCAAACACCAAAGCCCTAAGTCGTTTTTGGCTGTGTAATCCCAACGCTGTCCAACCTTCAAACAAACTAAATCCTAATTAAACCCTTAAACTCCAAACCTCAAACCCAGACCCTAAACCCGAAAACCTCAACGTCCCCAGCTTCGAACCGTAATCAAGGGCTAAGTCCTTGCTCACACTGCTCAGCACGTGAAGAAAGCAAAGTGAGCACCCAGGCTGCTCACTCACTTCGAACCAGAAGCGCGCCTGGCAGGGACGAACCCTAAACCCTAGGTAGGACGCGGTGATTTGGCCGTGCCGCATTTTGTTGGGCATGTTCACAAGCAATGTCAGCCCCAAACCCTTAACCCAATGAGGTTTTAGGGTTCTTTTTGAGTGCTTGGACCTCATCGGCCCTAAGCCCTAAACCCTAAACCTCTTCCACGACCCCGATGGATGGCACAGAAGAGAAAGACCTGAATTGCTATATTTTTAACCGAATCAGAAACCCATGGGGGGGTCATGGATCATTGAGCTGAGAGCTTGGGTTTGGGGGTTTCGGGTTTGGAACTCAGGGAGTGACACTATAGTTTTGTAACCTTCGCACCCAAAAAGCAGACAGGTTTAGGGCGTGTAGGATATAATTAGTGCGTTTGGGTCTATAGGGCTGCAGGGGCTCACCTGTAAGCAGTTTGCCTGGGTGGTGGGTTTTGCATGTTTGAGACGCAGAAAACGCAGTGGTATTTACTGTGATTTTGCAAATGAAGCCTAATGAAAAATTGTTGGGCTGAGCGGCTTTCTGCACGAACCAATTAGTTTGTTGACCGCGGGCGCTTTGACACTTTCGCAACCTTTCCAAGTGCAGCCATCATGTTGACATCATCAGGCAAGTTGTACCGACACAAAAAGGAGTGGATGTGGGCGTGTACGTTCGGGATCAAGCAACTTAGTTTTTCCTGAAAAAGCTTAGCCCAAAAACTCACTCAATCCACGTCCTTTGCACAAATCCCTGTAAATACCAATACATTTGTTCTGGTGAGTGTTGAAAGCGCCTGACGGCCTGCAACACGAAACCGTAGACCATAAACTAAAGCCTTGCCACAGAGCCAAGATGCCCCGCATCACAGACCAAACGCTAGCATGCCCCCCCCCCCCAAAACGTCAACCCCCTCAAGCAAATGATCCTCTGAAAGCCACCGCCCCACCCAGGCAACTACCAACACGCCTGGCTGTAGGGTTGTTTGGGTGTAGTCGTTTGGGGTCTAGTGTGTCTAAGGTTCAGGGTTTATAGGGTGTTTCGGTTGTCTTGGGTTTAGGGTTCCCTGCCTTGCCCAATGTGTCGGACGCGGAGAGCACGATGGAGTCTGTAAGATTCTCGGTGAGGGCCGTCGAATCGCCTTACTGGGCCGCTGAACTATGGAAAGAAAGGGGGAATCTGTTCCTGAAGCCCCAGAACCAAAAACCCTAAAACCTTAACGCCTAAACCGTTGCTAAACCCTAGACCTACAGTCTTCCCGAAGTTTAGACGCTAGCCGCTAGCCAACTAGCCAACTAACGTACGTAAACTAAGTTGCTGGAATCTCTGGAGCTGGAAATCCAGACCTGCGCAATGTCCATCTCTAGCTGACCTGGAAGAGCCCGTGCTTCACATATGGTTTAGCGTTTAGGTTTTAGGATTTTAGGGTTTTAGGTTTGAGGCTAGGGTGTGCAGCAAGGTTGAGGGATGGGATGGTGTTAGGGCGGTTTAAGATTTAGGGGTTTAGGCCACAAGCTCACCTTCCAGCAGTTCATGCTCCACGTAGGCCACAGACCCATAAACATACACAGCAGGGTCATACCTTGGTTGGTTTTAACTGTCAACAGTCAAAAAAGTTTAGTTTAGGGTTTCGGGTTTAGGGATGCTCAGGGCTTGTGGGTCCTAACCCCACACATAACCCTAAACCTTGTTTTGAACATACTCAGTACGCGAGGCACTCGCAATTGACTGCACAGCACGGAAGTGTCGAGAGGGGCTCTAGGGGTGCTGGAGCAACAGGGACAGACCGTGGGTTTGGTTTCTCAGATAAACTTATTCGATAAGCGCAACTTCAGATAGCTAATAAACAATACCCAGAATTTGAATCGCAATTTTTATCAGAATATTTCTACTTCTTACGCCGGATGCTGAAATATTATGCTTCTCGTTAACTGCGGTCGTGGACACATCGCAAAGAACTGTTGGCAACCCCAAGGCGAAGGGCCAGAAAGATGACAAGGGAGGAAAAAGTAACAAGGGTGGCAAAGGCAATCCCAGATCATCTCCTTCTTCATCGCCGATAATTTGTCACAAAAGTGTGGGCAATCAGGACTCATCGCGCGAAATTGTCGCGCGGGGCGGTTCTGCGAGAAGCCTTGAGTCCGAAGATGGCGAGGGCAATGGGTCTCACATCAACGCTGACGTGGTCTCATGACGATGAGTTCCAGCGTAGGAGCACAAGGTCTTTCGCGCGGTAGTTTATCACTGCTGTTGTATTCAGTCTCCAGTGTTGTTGACTGTTTTCGGCAAGCGCCTTGTAGACTCTGGTAGACTCTGGTGCCACATGCCATAGTCTTAGCCAGAAGGCTTCGCAGTTCTATCATGTCGTTTGGTCTTGTCCTGGATTCACTCTGGAACTCAAAGCAGCAAACGGCGAGCGCGTCCCAACACATGGGATCGTTGATGTTGAGGCTTGGTTCAGTGGAGCCAAGTACACATTGACTAGGTGTGTCTTTGCTGACATAGAGTTCAATGTGCTTTCGCCGTATGTGTTGAGCACGCATGGTTGGTCGTGTTTTCTCGGAAACAAGGCACACCTGAAGAAGCGCAAAGCGCAAATCCCACTTTCAATGATTGAAAGAGGCTGGTGGGCATTTGGCCAATTACCTCAGGTTCCTTTTGAAGATGCGTTGGTTTTGATGGAACTAGGCTCTGTGAAGTCGGCATCTACTCAGAGGACTACGTGCTCAGGAGATGGAGCTCGGGAGGTGACAGCTGAAATTCGGAGGGTGGATCTACCTCCACGACCTATACTGAAGCGACCAGCTGGCAACTTGTCTTTTCTTTCGCGTACGTTTTCGTGCACCGTGAGCAAAGAGGTGAGTCAAGCTTCTTATGTGCTTGAAGGACCAGTGTCCACGATATCTGAAGGCGCTTCGCCGAGGAGAGTGCTGCACGTGGCCAGGAGAGAGAGCCGCAGGCAGTAGGCGAGGAGTACTCTCAAAGAACGGGCAGGATTCGGATGTGGAGATGCCGCGCATGCCGCATGGGGAGGTTGAAGCTAGCGATGAGCCAGAAGTGGAGTTGACTTCCACATCTTTGCGGAAGCATTTGTGACAGGGCCATTTTCCCTGACTCACGTCATGCCCCCAATGCTGCCGCACGCAGCGCCGCACGCCTGCCAGACGCCTGAAGCACAGTAGGGTTAGAGAGGTGCAGTGTGACTATGGTTTTCTTGCGAGTAGGCAGTTTTTGCTTTTAGCAGTGGTTCTTACAGGCATGCGTGTGTGGTGATGGGTCCGGATGCTACTCAAAACGCGCGAGCATTGAATCATGTCTGGACGGAGGTTGGCATGCTGGGGAAAGAAGTGGAAGTCGTGAGTGACAACGAGCCTGCCCTTGTTTCGATGCTCAGGTCAGCTGCCAAGCTGGACACATGCCCATTGAGTGGAATTTCGTTTCGTCCTACTCCTGCTGATCGTCCTCAAACAAAGGGTCTGGTAGAGAAGAGCGTGGACTTGATTAAGGTTCTTTTCGGTAACAACTGGATGTGTATAGAAGATCAAATTGGATCTCGCATGGCTCTCGGGGGTGAGCTGTTTGATTCTGCACTTCTTTACACTGTGAAGTGTTACAACCTCTTTCATGTGAAGCGAGGACATCAAAGCAGCGCTACTGACAAGATGAAGGGGTTGGGCGAGCAGGAAACGAAGAAACCGACAACGTATCCTTTTGGGGCTATTGGGGTGGAGCTCCTCCCCTCTTGTCACTGTGCCACCAAGCTGCCTTTCACAATGTAGCTACACCCGACGTGTGGGGAGTGAGGAGTCTCGGTAACACTGTTGCTTCCTTGGAAATGAGCGGTCACGGGCCAATCCCTTGTCAACGGCCCATGAATCCTTATTCGTTCTGCAGGATCAAATCAACCGGCAACAGGCAGCAGGCAGCATTCGAAGGTTCAGGTTGCCTTGTTTAAGAAGGACCAGTGATTAGTCCCTTCACTGCATGGCTCAGAGTCAGGTCTCGCAGGCGTGCCCCTCCCTGCAGAGGTCTCTTCCCATCTGCTGGGCCGACACACCCGGGCAAGGTCAGGTTTGTGTCCACCTTGCTTGCATTCAGTAGTCACCACTTGCTCAGTGGCGACACCCAAGCCCAGTCGACCTCTCACTTTGTGTTGATTGAGGGGTTTCGTGTGGGGGCCCATCGCCGCCCCGCGCGCGCGACGGAAAACGTTAGAACCGGTCATGAAGTGCGTGAAACCACCTCGTGTCTGAGCGAGGTATATAATGCGTGGTAGAGCGGCTGGGATTGGACCAGGTTGTGAGATGCCCACCTCGGCCTTGCTCCCCCGCTTTTGGATGCTGGGTGTGCTTTTCGATTCTGTTATTCACCAACACCGCGCAAGCACGGTGGTGTGAAGCACAGCCAGTAGCGGTGCCTTTGGGGCCTGGATGGCCCTGAAACATACTGGCCAAAGAGGACTTCGGGACTTGCTGCTTGCGGGCAGCATGCAGAGGAAGTGGAGCAGGACCTGTGCTGGGGGCTGCAGGCACAGGACCCCACCCCAAACTTGACCCTGTGAGGTGCTTTGGCCCAGTGGCCAGTGAGTAAGAACGAGAAAGCTGATCCCTGCCCTGCCCTGGTGAGTAAGAGCGAGAAAGCCGGGCAGGGCCCTGGGTTGCTGGCGCTTAGGTTAGTAAGAGCGAGAACGCCTAGGCCTGCTCTGCAGGTTGGCGGGGGGTCGGGCATCTCACTGTTCTGTGTCTCAGGTTGCTAGGCTTTGGCTTCCTGGTCAGGCCTGTTTGACATCCGTGCGCCTAGTACTGTGAAGAGCGGCGTACCGGTAAAGCTTGCTCCCGCAACGCCAGAGCGCTGGGTGAGCCACTCCCCTGGGCTAGGTTTCTGTACAGCGGCGTGCATGTGAGTAGTCTCTGACCGAAGAGCTGCTCTCGGTACCTGCATGGCCCTTTGTTTCACCTGACCGGTCGAGCCTCGGCTCCCGAAGGGCCATAGAGCCAGCGACTCGTGCGCTTGGGTGTGTGAGATATGACGTGCAGTCATGTCTAAATCACACTGGCGCTATCATGCATGTGCATGCTGGTTGAGTACGAGCCGACGTGAGCGGATCAAGCCTCCAACCTCGAATCCTATGATTGCTTGGCTGCAAGATGCTTTACCATCGAGCTGTATGTCGCAACATGTAACATGTACATAGGCATGATCGCTGTCAGGTGCAGCAACAAGCCTCACGTTGTGTGCGGTAGTTCTGCTGCTCTGGAAGTGTGGGCTCTGTAGGATTGTAGGTGCAAAGGCTCCACTCTTAAAGACCTTCCCTAAACCCCGAAATTTCCTCAACTTGCCATAACTCCAACATCCAAGACACGAGATCTTTCGTTCTTCTTCATAGATACGACTATCTTTTCGATCTATTTGCCCGTGTCCGTGGATGCGGCTATCTTGTATCCGAGCCTTGGAAACTGTGACGTGGGTGTACATATTGTATATCTGTATATATAAAATGTACAAGAACACTCCACGCCGAGTGGTGCAAAACACTCAACAGCGCGTTGCATGCAGTCTCGCCATTTGCTGCCATTTATGAGCTGTTCCAGCTGTTTCGACCGATGTGGTGGAACCGATTGGTCTCGACAGATGTTCAGTTGATTCGCACGAAGTGGCTTGAGCGTCCAGTTAGAAAGTTGAAAGAAGGTTTCCGATTTCAGACACAAACGCTAAGCCCTTAACCCAAACCATTGGCCAGCTGAGATGCTTTGTTTGGTAGTCGTCACCATAGAAGTGCACGCTGGAGTGGAAAGGGCCCAGCACGAATGTCTGTTGGCCAACCTCATGCGAACCTCACAACATGGCCAGTCACAAATCGCCAGAAACAGCGTTCCTCAAACTTTGATGGATCAGATTCCTACCCTGAACCCTGAACGCCAGCCTGTCGCCACATAGCCGGCATAAACCCCAGTTGCAGTGCGCGTGAAGTTCAGCTGCAAAGCCATCACCAGCTTAGCGACTGTCAAATCGCTCGCTCCGACAAGCACGGCGAAGAGCGCAGCATATCCAGAACGCTGAATGAGGTCTCCGGACTGGGTCTCATTCAACGGACACTTGTCATCAAAGTCTGCATATGTCAGCTCCGCAATCAGCTGATGCTGGTTGTTGTACACGCTCCTCTGCCACTGCGAACTGCAGTCTGTGCGTGGCTGCAACGAGTCCGGAGTCGGCCCCAGGTCCACGAAATAGTGTGGCACGGAGGCAATGCCGTGAAAATGGCTCGGAAGAAAGGCCGTGCTCACCGACAACTGGAAACTCCCGACAAGGTTTCTCACAATAGTCAAATCTGGCGGAGGGAGGGCTTGGATCCAAGGTCCAAGAAGAGGGGCACAGGATGTGCTGCCCGCATTCGAATAGGTGTCCTCCTCGCAGGCCAGGCAGTCGTCTATGTCCGTCTCCAGGTTTGCATCGTACTTGCCGGCGGGACACTCGGAGCAGCCGGTTCCATTGAAGACCTGCCCAGGTGTGCAAAGCGCGCGGATCGCGAGCTGCACTTTCCAAGTGTCATCCACCTCAGCTCCTCCCACATCTCCACAGCAGATCACAAAGGTACCTGGAGCAAGCAATACAGCGCTTGCACTGTGGCGGGCCGGAGGAGCATCCAACGCACCATCGTGTAAAGTCCTCCATTGGTGAGTCCCCACATCAAACTGGTACAACGACCCTGAATCCTGGTTACTCGCAAGCTCACCACCATAGATGATCAGCTGGTCCTCAAGTTCATCGTAAGCCATGTTGACCTGGATCCGAGCCAAGGGAGCACCTGGACCGGATAGCTGGCTCCAAGTGTTACTTGCGAACGAATAGCTCCACAGATCGTTGAAAAGCACGTGCCCGCAAGTCCCAAGCTGACGGCCGCCGAAAATAAACATGAGACCACGGCGTTTGGACACGGCGCTGCCATGACCATAGCGCAGATCGGGACCATCCGTGGATGGCAGCATTTCTTCCCACGCCAAGCTGGTCAAATCCAGGGACCACAGCTCTCTTGATCTACTGCAGGTGGAGTGTCTAAGCTGAAATCCTCCGAACATGAAGATTGCACTCTGATCAGGTGCAACTTCCATGCTATGGCCGTATCGAGGTATTGGGTTCACGTCGTTCTGAGTGCTGAAGGCCACTTGTGCCCATACCCGCGTAGCGGGATTAAAGTGCCACATGTCTGAAAGATATGTCCCGGTGGTGCCGGAAACATGATAGCCCCCATAGATGAATAGGTCCTTCCCTACAGATGTAGCCGCATGGCTGTGCCTTGATTGCGGCCTTAGCCCCGGAATAGATAGCACCTTCCAGCTCGAAGCTGCGAACTGCCACACATCCGACAAGGAGAGCCCTCCATCTTGCCCACCGAACAGCAATGAGCCATGGTATTCGACGTTGGTGAAGGTAGCATCCTGCCGAACTCCTGGGCCTCCTCCGCCTACCTGAACATTCTTGAACCAAGGGCTTCTGGCTTCAGATTTCGGGCTCAGGCTTCAGGGTATTTCGGTGTTGGGGCGTTGGTTGGAGTATTTCTCACTCTGCCTCGTTCCAGGACACCGACCCAGAAACAGGGGAGACAGCTGCAAGCCAAGCCAGCAAACTCATCCCTCCTGGTTTAAGGCTGAAGGATCAAGGGTCGAGGTTTAAGGGTTGAGGGCTGAAGCGTCAAGGGTCGAGGGTTTAGGGTTTAGGGCTGAAGGGCCAAGGGTGGAGGGTTTTGGGTTTAGACAAGAGCTTAAAGGGTTTTATGATTCACCGTCTCTCTCCGATGCCATTCTGATTCTGGGCCAGCTTCTCCTCGGAGAAACATGCCCCAAAATTCTCCAAACCCGAGATTCTTGACCATTAACCCCTGGTTGCCCTGCTGCCGGTTTTTTCAGGAATGCAAGTCGAGAAGCCGTAGCATCTAGGGCTCAGGCTATAGAGAACCTCCTTGAAAGTCAACTTACTTCTTTAGCGAGGGAACACGAGACCGCGATCGAGAAGTCATACCCTCCCCACACTGCAGAAGTAAATGGCTGCTTGGAACTAACAGCTTGAAGTTTGGGCTTTCTGCTGTCCTGCAGCAACTTGGACTCTCGCTTTGTGGCTCTGCGAGGTGGCTGGGCTGAGAGTGCTTCTGCTTGAGCCAAACGACGCAATGATGTTTTCCATCACCCGCATTCGCAGGACGTTGCTTTGGCGGTTTTGGGGTTTTGGGCCTGGGCTTTAGGGTTTATAATCTCGGCTGACGTCGCCAAGCACTCATCCAGATAGATGGCATATTCCACCTTTGCCGACAGGTTCTCAGGGTTCTCAGACACTGAGGTCTGTGAAAGGCAGGAACTTTTTTGCGACTCTTAGGGTGCCTCGAGTCATCCACCGCGGCCAATCACGAGAGATTACCTCCGATCTCGCCTGGGTCCAGGTCATCGTCGATGAAGGACACATTGTTCGCCCGGGATACCGGCGGCGTCGCACGGTAAATGAAAGCCTTTTTTTCTAGAAGTTCAAGGATGCTCAGAGTCTCAGAAGTCTCAGAAGTCTCAGCGTTCATTTTGGCGTCTTCCACTTGATCCACCAGTTCGCTGTCGACAGCAATTGAAAGAGCTCCTGGCTTGGAGATCTCACCTCAACCTGGATGGCAAGGAAGGCAGGCGTCGTCTGCTCCACAAGCACGGACCTGGTGAAGACCGTGAAGTGGGTGAAATTGTCGCGTGGCGTGTTCCTTCGTGGTGTTCTGGCTTATGTATCCACCCAGCGTGGTTTCGGCACGTCTTCTGTGCCAACTCCTCTCGCAAGCGCAGCGTGCGCAAGTTGCACTTGTGCGGTGCTGTGCATGATGCGAAGCGTGCCGGTGACGCCAAACATGCAGCCGAACAGAATCAGGAAGATGTTGGCGAACTATGGCGAACTCGCTGATTACAGACTTGGCCACCAGTGGAAGAGACAAGACTTGCATGCTGCAGACCAGCGAGGCGAAGCCCAAAGCCTGGCCAAAGGCCTTCTTCAAGTCCTCCTGCCGATCCTGGTTCAGTTTGCAGAAAATTGTGGGAGGGTTTCTTTGGCATGTGCTTTGTCGAAGCTAGCTAGTTTCGGCTTGACGGCCCTGAGCAAAAGTTCCTGCCTCAGAGCATTGCCTCGCCGACTCTTCGGAAATGTTCTCGTAATTCTCCTTTCGAACATGCCTGCTGCTGGGCAAGGCTACGACGGATGAAGAGGTACATCTTGGTCCCTCAAAGTGATGGACCTTGTACTGCGTAAATCACAAGGAATTCTCCAATGGCCTGAGGCCCCAAGGCAAGGATGCAACGAAGCCATGCCCACTGCAGTATTTGATTTTCGTGGACTACAACAAAAGGGTTGCCACTCTTGCGTGCTCAATCCTAGCACATACGACGAAAAACGATCACAATGCAAAACGAGATGTAGCGTCCTATGGCATATTCAAAACGATCATCAACCGCAATCAAGCATGATACACTCATAGCATGACAACATCTATGGTTGCATGCCAAGAGAGTGCTGTGGCGTGTAGAAATGTACTGTACTACAGATGGCAAGAGCAAGTTTGCTTGTCGTTTGAGCACTGGCCGCAGGCCGTGCAGTAATGTCCACCTTGCACACGGCACAAAGGCAACAGCGCCACCATATCTGGCCAAACTTACAATCCCTAGAAAGCTCCAAGGACTCTTAGTTTAAAGCTTTTGGTGCCCGAACTTAAGGCCTTATCATGTCAGGTTTTTGGGCTATTTTTTGAGCCTGAGGACATTGGTTGCTCGCGGAGTCGTTAGTTTCAGCACAACACGTCCACACAACTCTTCTGCAGCACCCGATGTGGCTGCGGCGCACCCTCCTTTTTGACTCAAGATGCCAGCTCTTCATTTCAGCAAAAGGTGACTCTGCCGATGGCAACAAAGCACTTCTCACTGAGTTGCCCGCCAGAATCCTTTGCAGCCTTGACTGTGCTCCACAACACACAACCTCCCCCAAAGAACAGCGGCGACGATCTCTGCTTGCCCAGAGGTGAAGTCACTCAACCCTAAACCCTATAACCCTATAACCCTAAACCCTAAACCCTAAACCCTAAACCCTATAACCCTAAACCCTCAACCCTAAACCCCGCAAGGCTACAAGATGACCAGCTAAGCTGAATTCGGCAGTCTGTGTCGCTCTCGCAGTTGAGAGGGGAAACACACACGAGCAGTGTGAGATAGGGGCTGGGGTCCCGTTTACGCTTGAACCACCCAATACTGGGGTTTGGGACCTATAGGGTTCAGCACGCCGCAGCAATATGTAACCATGGGACCCTTGCGCGGAGACTTCTTGCTGCTCTTCATCAACAAAGAGCTCCGAATTTTTGGTTGCCCACCATTGAACGGATGTTTTGTGCAGTGGCAACCTCTACATGAATTACAGCAGCAACCCTTTGGTTCCTGCAGACCGGAAGCAAGAAACTCCTTGTGAATCTCTTGCGTGGCATGATACTTTGAGCATCCTACCCGTGCGACGGAGGTGTGCGCGAAAACCTTTCCTCATGAAAGCGATCACTGGCGATCACGCTATTTGCTGAGCATCATCAGCAAATGACATTGGCATATATCCTCATATCCCGGGGTGCAAAGAAGCACCGCTCAGAAAAATCCGCATGAGCCTTGGCAAACGTCAACCGGTTTAGGGTTTAACGGTAGACTCCGCTCGGCTGGGCAAACAGGTAATACTTCACCACACTGCACACATGGACAACTCTGCCATGACTTGAAGCCAGCGCTCTGGAAAGGAGGGCAAACCGAGAAACGACCAACATTTACAAGCAATGAAGGTGTGGGTGAGCGCCATTCTCTGAAAGAAAGCGTGATGCGCTCTAAGCACTTGTAGTCGTCGCATGCGCCGACATAGACTGTGTGACATGTGAAGGATCTTTCGTAATGATTGCGCTTGGCAGGGGGGAAATTGTTGGTGTTTTGGGTGCTGCTGGAGACGTACTTTTACACATAAACAACACATTATATAAATAAATATATGTATATAAATATATAGACACACACACACACCTTTGAATGTAGACACAAACATGTACATACATGTATTTGTGTATGCATGAGATTTTGCTGGTTGCTGGCGCGAGGTTTGGTTCCCTGACATGATATGCTTAGAATTCAGATCTCGACATATTTCCGGGATTGCATCAAGTCAAGACATGTTTCACAAACATACATACCCTCTGGTCCGATTCAACACGAACACAGCCACACACACATACTTTTTTGTTTGCATGTCCTTGTTTGCGTTCGTGCTTGTTTTTGTTGGTTTGTTTGCTTGTTTTTGTGTTTGTGTTTGTGTTTCTGTTCGTGTGTGTGTGTGCGCGTGTCTGCATGTTGTGTGTTGTGTGTTGTGTGTTGTGTGTGTGCGCGCGTTTCAACAACGCAAACCATCTTGCAAAAAAAACAACAACATGAACTCCAAACGACCCCAACGCTCCCGACACCCTACATTCAGCCCCGGCCAGTTCAGCTTGGCAGCAGAATCCCTTGGGGTCACCCACGCCCTCAAGCTTGACCTCGGCCAGGCCGGCCGCCTCCTGCAGAGCAGAAAAGGCAGAAATGATCTGGATGGGCTGTGCCCACTTATAACTGTATTTGTGAACCACTTAGAAGGCCCTTCATTGCCCTAATATGGTTATAAATGATTGGGTGAGAAGTGCAGGTACTATGTGGTTAGCAAGTACCATGAACCTCCAAGCAGTGCTCCCAAAATACCTGGCAACCGAAGAGCTTCACCTTTGCCTCGCACTGCGCCGAAGGAATCTGAACTCAACTCCCCCCCCGTTCTCCACGAACTTCAGCTTAACTTAGAAGGCGCAAGCCAGCGCCTTTAACTAAGTACTGTTGAAAAAAGGCAGCTCTGTGGAAAACATGGCTCCATCTTCTTCAGGTCTTCAATCTCAGTCCACTCAGTCTTGCCGTCGTCGTATTTCCTCAAGTTCTGGTAGCAGACAGAGCACTTATTCTGTAACGCATCTGGCAGGTGCATGGATTCGATTCCGCTGCAGCAAAAAGCCTGGCATGCTCACATGTAGCTTATTCTAATTCTGCCTATGAGGCGGGCCTGCCCAGACTGCGCCATGCAAGATGACTCAGTACTTGTATGTGAGGCCGTATAGACATACGGAAGCAAGGGGGGGTGCGAGCTCCAGTCTTTGGGTTAAGGGCTTCGAGGAGGTTGTAGAGAGGAAGGAGGTTTGCAAGAGTTCAGGTGCTATGGGCCACAAGGCTGCTCTCACCTTCTGCACATAAAGCTGTTCAAAGTACTCCACCAAGCGAATTGCAGGGGGTCCCCATGAAGCCTCATAATAGGGCCCAAACTTCCGTGCATCTTCCGCGCGAGAGGTGTGCAACGATGGGTCCCCCCCTTCCCGCCCGCCCATGGACTTGCACAGAGAGGACTTCGAGAACAGGGGGCTTAGAACAACTCCGAAACCCCAAGCCCTACCTAGGTTTCATTGGTTTGGGGGGCACAGGTCGAGGTTTCTGAGCCGAGTCTTTACGTTGAACCGTCAAAGCCAAGCTTCACCAGCACATCGGTCGTTGTGTGCTGTAGGACATGACCACTCTGCCCTCGGCGAAGGTTAGTAACCTCAGCTTTTTTGCTTCGAGCGGCTTACGATTTGCAACCCATGTTACAAGCACTCAACCCAAAGATTGCGAAACCTTTGTCACCCCTCTGGGCTACACATGAAAGAACATCTCCAGCAAGGCAGCATGCCTCTCTTTGGGCCTGAGCTTCACGCAGCCATTCCCTTGCTCACATCGATGACGTCAGCCTCCTTCTCACGGCTGACTCCCGAAAGCAAAGCGCCATCTCTGGAGCAGAGCCAAACACACCTTATAAACCCTGAACCCTGAACCCTGAACCCTAAACCCTAAACCCTAAACCCTAAAGCCTAAAGCCTAAACCCTAAACCCTAAACCCTACAGCCTAAACCCTAAAGCCTAAACAACTCCTGCCTAAACAACTCCTCATGCGGATGTGTATGTCTCAATGCTTCGGGCTCTTCGGCGGCCTCTGCTTTCTTCTCTTCCGCCTGGACCAGCAGCGACTCGAGGGTGCAGGAACCAGCTCTAAGCAGCTTTCAACATGCTCCCCCCCTTATACCAACAGTCCCTCAGAGGGAGCATAGTGCCCCCTCTTTTCGTCCCAAACAAGGACTACAGTCCTTAAGAGGGAGTATAGTACCCCCTGTTATAGTCCCAAATAAGGACTGTGAGTATAAGGGGGAACATCCCAAAATATTGTAGGCAAACAAGGCTCCATCTTCTTCAGGTCTTCAATGTCAGTCCACTCAGTCTTGCCGTCGTCGTATTTCCTCAAGCATGTGGCGAACTCGGGCGCAGGGGGGGGGGGGGGGGGGTTTGGCATGTTTCTTCGGAGACTTCTCCCCAAGAAAGGGGTTTGAGATGCACCTGCTGAGTTTGCCGAGCTTCACCAGCACATCGGTCGTGGTGTGCTGCATGACCTGACCACTCTGCCCTCGCCGCAGGTTTGTGACCTGAGTCGGTGTGCCGATGATTACCTTCACCTTGGGTTTCTGCTGCATGATCTGAGGGGTTTAGGGTTTAGGGCTTAGGGCTTAGGGTTTGTATGGCCGTCCACCCACTCTGCCCCCAACGTATGACATGGGGGTTTACGAAAATCGGGTGCCCCGAAAAGTAGTAGGATTCCCTTCTCATAAGGACCCCAAAAGGTACCCCAATTTTCGGAAACCACCACATTTAGGAAGACTGCCAGAGGCCAGACCCCGCAAGAAACAGCGTAGCGGCACATTGGCCCCTGAGCTTCAGGCAGCCATTCCCTTCTTGACATCAATGACTTCATCACCACCTTCCTTCTCAGAAACGACTCATGAATCCAGCAGGAAGGATGCCATATCCGTGGAGCAGCCACACCACGCAAAACACGCCAAGCACATGATCCCGGAAATTGGGGCATTGAGACATGCATTGCAATGCTTCGGTTCGGCCTCCTGCGCTGCTGGCTCCGGCTTCTTGTCTTCCACCTGGCACCACCCGCAACGACTCAGGGGAAGTAGAAAAAAATGTCGCGACGCTGTGACTCGAGGAAGAAAGAAGTGACCGCCGAAAACGATGCATTAAGCCCCGCAGTGGGCCTAGAAGCCCATTAGAAGCTTAAACCCTACACCCTAAGCTCTAAACCCTAAACCCTAAACCCTAACCCTAAACCCTAAACCCTAAGCCCTAAACCCTAAACCCTAAACCCTAAACCCTAAACTCCGCCGGCCTTCGGCTCCGCCTTTGCCTCCACCTTGGGCTCCGCCTTCGCCTCCTTTGGCTGGGTCGTGGCGGCCGTGGCGGGGGTCGAGGAGCTGCAGCCCATCCTGGGGGGTTTAGGGTTTAAGGTTTAGGGTTTAGGGTTGAGGGTTGAGGGTTTAGGGCCAAGTTCTGGGTTTAGGGTTTGGTGCTTAGGGTTTAGGGTTTAGGTTTTAAGAACCCTCTAAGGAACCCCTTTAAGGCACCCAGTAAGGACCTGAGGAAGCCTTAAAGACACTTTGCCAGGAAAACTTGGGGGGCGGCGGGTTATTAAAGACATACTGGTGAGCCTTGAACTCAAGAAGCCTCGATCTTGACCCTAAAAAAACAAGTAGTCATAACAGCAACCAGCGACCAAGAACTAACTAAGAGATGGCACTGGCAATTGAACGAACTCGCTGATCAAGCATACTCAACTTCAGTTCGCAACCAGTGTTGTAGTCATCGACCCATCTTGCAACGAAGTAGCTTGTGGCAGAGGAACTTTCGCAAAGTTTCGTGGCAAAGTTGATGCTGAGACAGCTGCTGAGGGGGTCTCTAAAACTGTGGGGGCTTAGGGCCTCTGAGGCCTTCAGGCGAGCCTCCGGAAAACTCTAGGAGATTGGCAATTCGGGCTGTCGATGCTCAGAGCTCAGATGACTTCAGAGGCAAATCGACAGAATCCTCACCATGACGCCTCCGAATGTGCCCGGAAGCTTCCGGGGCAGTTCTCTGCATCAATGTTCTGTCAGCTATACAGGCACACACAGCGTGCACGCGTGGGTGCGAGTGTCTGCAAAGGCTCGACCCCCCCCCCCTGCCCGCCCCCCTCCAGAATGGACGACCAACGCACCACCCGAGCCCGAACCCCAAAGGCCCGAAACTCAACACAGACCATGTTGAACCGTTGCACCCAAGGACCCACCCTCCCTCTCTAATCTTTTTGATCTTCTTTTCTTCTGCGCCGAGCTGGCCGCGTTTCAGACGTGAACTTTGAGCCTACAGCACAAAGTGGTCGGGCAGTTTTGCGTGTTCTGCGCTGTGAGGCAGAAAGAAAATGCAGCTGCATTTGCAAACTCCTCCGGTTGGAAACATAGAGGTGACATTCAAACGCGCGAAAACTTCTGAGGTGTTCCACTGCTCATTGGCAAGGATCGTGGAGACTCACAATACGACGCTATTATGTACAGGCTTCTCTATATAGGGTACAAAAGCTGGCCAACGCAGATAAGGCTTGATGTACAGACTCGTCTGTTCACTTTCTGTTCACAGGAGGCATGGACTTGACATTCAAATGCGTGGCAACATCTGCGGTGTGCCACTTGCTGATGTTCTGGCCTTCTTCACACAGGGCCAGCTAAAACATTTCAGTAAGAGAAGACTGTTCTGGCCTTCTTCACACAGGGCCAGCTAAAACATTTCAGTAAGAGAAGACAGACGGCCAGAATATGAGTTGACTGAATCCGTGCTTCACTTTGCTTGTATCCTTTGACTCTGAAGGGCCTGGCCGTGCTTACCATCGCTGCACTTCAGCCGTGGCTTTCAAGGTTGGGGGTTGTTTTGGGGGCTGTGGGAACAGAACAACAGGAAACACATGCCAGTGTTTCAGGAAGACAAGAAGTATGACAAGCATAACTTCCAGAACAGGGTGTGAGCCTGGTATGTAGAAACTAGTATTTCTGGTTTAGGGCTGGGTTCCGGTGCTCGCGAGATCACGAAACACAGTATCGACGTCGATGACGACAGCTCTAGTACTTCAGTGAAGGATCTTCGTGGTTCAAGCATTGGGGATTCAAAGGTGGGGTTTGGACGGGCTTGGGGATGTTTTGGGCTTGGGGTCGCGGTAGAGATGGGGTCCGAAGGCTTGGTGGGTTTAAGGTTTAGGGTTTAGGGCCTCTTTCGGGTTTAGGTGAAACAGACACAGGTCAAGCCTCGCCGGCCCCTTCGCGAGCAAAAGCAAGTCTGGACAGCCCAGGGGCCTCCGCTGGCTAAAGGCAATCAGAAATAGGGGTACCTCTTTGAGTTTTTTTTACAGGATTGTCTAGTATCTTGGGGTATATAAGGGGACCCCTATATTTCGAAAATTGCAAACCAGGTTGTAGGGTCTAGGGCGTCTAGGGTTGGGTATTCTTTTTTGTCTCTCAAGACAGCGCAGGCACTGATGAAAGTCATCTAAGACCCGCATCAGTTCCCTCGTCCGTGTCTCTGCCTGTTTAACTATCCCACTGAAAATACGTTCACACTATTGTCGAGAATGGATAAACGTAAGCCTTGGGCTGTCGCGCGCAAATTGGGCGAACTGGCCAGCATCGAACTCACTGATCAGAAGAGGGAAATATACCAAGGGGCTTGCTTGGCCAGAAGCTGTAAAGTGCGAAAGCACACAGCCACCAGCTTCGCCCTGAGGGCAGCAAGTGCGGCACCCAGGCTGGTCCTCGCCGATCCATCTCCAAGATGGTGCGAGCCACACCAGTGGGTCCGTCGCGTTGCACTTTGCCGCAGACGAGGTCACATCTTCTTGTCACAAAGGAAGAGGACCCTTTGCGGTCCTCCTCTTTCAGAAAAGTCGGGACCCCCTTTTCCCGGCCCAGGCACCCCGTCCTGCACATTCCAGCACCGCCGCGGGAGGTCCCCGAGCCTTTCCCGCCAAAGCTCGCACCCCGCGTTGCCCTCCCACCACCAAAGCTCTCACCATGTATTTACCCGCCCCGCCCCGTTCCGTGGGCCCACCGCCAAAGCTGGCACCGGCCCACACCATCTCGTGGAGTGTTCCTCCTCGCACCCCGTGTCGGGTCCCACCCGCGCCCATTCAGCCATTCACCCCGAAGTTCCTGCGCGGCGTTGGTCTTGCGCAACCCCCACCGCTTTGTCCCTCCCGTCCCGCCGCCCCGCTGCCAAAGCTCGCTTGCAATCGTTCTCTCCTGCAGGCACACACACCCTGCTTTGTCCTTCCCATCCCTCCCGCTCCGTCCCGCCGCACGCAGGCTTTGCCGCACCGTGCATGTCCCCCCGTCCCAAGCATCGCACGCCCGCAGATTCCCTCCGTCCCATCCGATCCTCGCGGCCTCCCCGAGCTGAGAGGCCTCTGCAAAGGCAAGAAGAATCAATATTTCAGGACCCCATCTGGCATTCAGCAAGGGAGTCCCGTCACAGCGCGCAAAAAACGCGGAAGAAAGGAGGTTTGGATTGCTGTAACAAAGCGAAGACGCACAAACCCCCGACCCAAGTTTCAGGCACAGAGTGGACAAGTCAGAAGCAGGCGATAACTGGAGGAAGTCATGCAGGTCCCGGCCAGGCAAAAAAACCGAAAAGGCAAAATCTAAAAGAACGGCCCCCTGCCAGTAGTAATTAGCAATTGTCACTGGCGAGACTCTACGCAAAACACAGCCTTCCAGTGTCACAGCAGCAGACGAGAGGCAAACTCAACTTGCAAATCAACACTCCGCCATTCAACATCGTTCAACCATGTGTTCCTTCACTGTTTTATCCAGACAAGCGCGGCTACTTGTGGTTAACCATGAACTTGCCCCTGCGAGGCCCATGCGTTGGCTCCAGTGAACCTCTTCAGCGGGCTCACTTTCAGCAGACCAGCCAGCATGGCCTGAACGAAGCTCGACAGTTCGAGTCTAGAGCCGGCAAGGCCCTTCAGTGGGGCCGTGACGTCACGCTCCCTTCAAGGCATCTGCCGCGGGCGCCCTTTGGAGAAGGCAGGGTGCGGAATGCCCTCCCCACGATTCTCCACTAAAAGACTCTGCTTGAGACGGAATCCCTGCTCTGTGCGGTACATTGCGATGTTCTGCCTTGGCAACCCTCGACCCTCTTAGCAGCTCCCTTTTGCACATGCACCCCTTCTTGATATCTCATCTTGTCCCACTGGCTGAATTCTACCTGTCCCACTACACATTCTGGTCCTCTGATGTGCATCCTTGGGTTGCGCCTTCTTACCTTCTCGCGATTCTGTTCCAGCTACCTTGCCCGAACAAATCTGGCTTCTTCCGCTGCTTTCGAAGAACTTTCGCAGAGCCTGTCGAAGCGGGCATGCCCCGGTCGGCCAACAAAAGCCGCAAACACTGCACCTACGACACGGTTCGATACAACAGCCATGCATCGATAGTCTTAATGTCATATATATATATACATACATATACATATATGCTACCCCCCCCCCCCCCCAGGAGAATCTACCTTTTCAGGTAATCTTGGATCTTGGATGGGTTTAGGGTTTAAGGTTTAGGGTTTAGGGTTGAGTGATGGTACCCCCCCCCCCCCAATCTTATGGTTCGAGGCGTACCGTCCTTCCTTCTCCATTATCTGCAATTGATATACAGTACATATACCCTATATACATACATGATGTGGGCACTTATCCTACTTTGTCTTTGCTTTTCCTAGCTCTATGGGATTTAAAGTTCAAGAGTTTAAGCCTCAAGCCCTATAGGGTTACAAGGTTCTGTTACTGTAGGGTTTAGCGGGTTTAGGGTTTAAGGATTCTAAACGTGAGCCCTGTAAGGCTTCAGGGTTTGTCGTTAAAACAGTAAAGGGGTTAAAACCCTACAAGGTTTCGGGTTACGATTTTTAAATTCCTAAGTCTTAAACCACAAAAGGGTAAACCATGTAGGGTTTAAACCCTATAAGGGCTAGCCCCGATAGGGTTCTAGAGATACACCCTGAATAACCCTAAAGCTTTACATCCTATAGGGTTTAAATATTTCAACCTAAACCCTAAACCTTTAAACCTATAGAGTTTAAAGGCCACCTATTCGGTTTAAATACCTAACCCTATAGGGACTCTATAGGGTTTAAGGTTCAAGCCTTTAGGGTTACAGATTGAATGCCCAAGCCTTAGGTTTTAATCACTAGATCTTGCACCTGTAAAATCCTATGGGGCTTGCAGATTGTAATGCCTAAACCTCAAGGCTAAATTCCTAAACTTCATTCGCCTTCAAAACCTAAGGTCTGGGCATTTATACTTTTAGCGCCTTTAGGGTTAAGACCTTGGAACCTTCATAGGGTTTTAGGGTTCTGACCCTAAAGGGTTTAGGGTGAGGTTGAAATGTCTAAACCTTAAACACTTAAGGTTTAAACTCTATGGGCTTAGGTTTGAATGCATGAGTCTTAATTAAACCCTGAACCTTTACACCTTAAACCTATAGGGTTTAAACATTAAGGGCTTAGGTTCAATTGCCGGTTAAATGCCTGAATCTTAAACCTGTAGGGTTTAAAAGTTAAGGGTTTTGGTTTAATTTCCGGCTTAGATTTGAAATCCTTACATCTTACACCCTAAACCTTTAAACCTTAACCCTATAGGGTTTAAAGGTTAAGGGTTAAGTTTAGTTGCTTAACCTTGAAACCCCATAGGGTTTAAAGGTGTAGGGTTTAAGGTGTAGCCCTAGATCCTATAGGTTTAAGGCATAGCGATTAAAACCCTAAACCTGTAGGGTGTCGGGGCTTCTCTTAAATCCTTAAAGGCTTAAAGCCTTAACCCCGATAGGGTTTTAGAGACAAGCCCAGCCCAAACAACCCTTAACCTTAAGAAAAAAACCCTGGAGCTGGAGCGGGAGCGGAGCGGAGGGGGAGGGGGGGGGGGGGGGGTACCACAGTCCCAAGGCCAAGTTGGAAGAACCCCCCGCCCCCCCCCCCCCCCCTCCCCCCCCCCACCTAAGCAACCCGACTGCTTATAAGCAACCCAACTGCTTCTAAGCAACACACCTAAAACAAAAGACAAACTCTTATACCTCATCCTCTGGATATGGAAATCTGAAACTCTCATCATGTAGAGATTGAAAATTCGAATCTTGTTGAAGATGAGAGGGTAAGAATCTATACGAAAGCGTTAGAGGTATCTTCAACCCGATACGAAAAAGCTACAGGTGTCTTAAACCCCCACCCTTTGGAGGTAGATTCTCCAGGGGGGGGGGGGGTACCACATATATATATATATGTATACGCAGAGAGAGAGAGAGGGAGAGATGGGCCATACGCCCTCTATTTTGTGAAATCCAAGTGCCATGAAGAACCTTGTTGCCCTGGAGTTGATTCTCGCGGACCGCAGCCTCATAGGCTTCTTTCACCTTGCGGAAGACTGTGGTCATCTCCTTGGCCTGAGCGCTCGGAAACTCTGAGGGCCTCTTCCTGCAGCGCGACATCTGAGGGCCAAATCTGTCCAGACTTTGCAGAAGCACCGCGCGGCATGGGGGAGTTTCCAGTTAAAGGGGATTCTTACCCGAACAGACTGTCCAACTGCTGAGCTTGGGGCTTTCTCCATGTTCTTGTCCTCACCGAACAAAAGGCTGCAGTATTTCACGCGATGCCTTCCTTTTGCCTGCTGGCAAGCTTGATCCATGTCTTTCAAGTTGAGGTTTGCGGTCGCTGGCCCTTCTGGGTCTAGCTCGGGTATGGGACAGACCTAACAACTCGAAAAATGCGAGCGGCACCAAAGAGCAAACGATCCAGGATTTGCAGACCAGCCACTGGATGGCACTCCAAAGCCAATTTCCGATAGGCCTGGGCAGGGTAAAAGCGCCACGTGACATGATGCGTTGGAGATGTCTGCTCATGTATAAAAACTAAAATCTCAACCCACTATATATAGGTAGCCCTGAGCCCTGAGCCCTGAACCCTGAGCCCTGAGCCCTAAGCCCTAAGCCCTAAGCCCTAAGCCCTCAGCCCTAAGCCCTAAGCCCTAAGCCCTAAGCCCTAAGCCCTAAGCCCTAAGCCCTAAGCCCTGCAACGCAGCCGCGGTCTGCTGCAAGAGTCGCAAGAGCGGCGATGCTGAGACTGGGGCAACTCCAGGGTGTGAAAGTGTTTCGTCAGCTGTGGGGGAGGAGCCTGCAGGGGAATTCCATTGAAGACCCTCATGTTAGGCAATTTAGGGTTTAGGGTTTAGGGATTAGGGTTTAGGGTAACTTTCCCGCGGGAGCATTCTGAAACACACGCTGTCCCGCGTTTGAAGCACTGCTAAGTGAACTCTGCTCCTCTGGCTTGCGTCCGTAAACCTGCCGTTCGGGGCGTTCATACCAGTATGCACTTCCTGGGATTGGTGCAACGTTCCTCGTTTGTCCTTCTCCCCCCTGTTGAAGAGAGCCAGAAGAGGGTTAAGAAGGGCTCATTTTTGAGGGTCCCCCTAAACCCTAAACCCTAAACCCTCAACCCTCAACCCTCAACCCTAAACCTCTCTTGCCTATATATATATTTAAACCTTATAGTCAGCAAATCGACCGGCCCTGTTGGTCACGCCCTAAGGGCAATCCTTCCAAATCGACCGGCCCTGTTGGGCACTCAAGGGTCTGGCCTTGTCCTGGCCCACGCGCGCGCGGCCTTGGCCTTGGCCCTTCCAAATCGACCGGCCCTGTTGGGCACTCAAGGGGCCCTTCCACATCGACCGGCCCTGTTGGGCACGCAAGGGTCCGGCCTTGTCCTGGCCCGTGCGCGCGCGCGGCCTTGGCCTTGGCCTTGGCCCTTCCAAAATCGACCGGCCCTGTTGGTCACTGGCCCTGGGGCCAATCCTTAAATCGACCGGCCCTGTTGGGCACGCAAGGGTCTGGCCTTGTCCTGGCCCGCGCGCGCGCGGCCTTGGCCTTGGCCTTGGCCCTTCCAAATCGACCGGCCCTGTTGGTCACTGGCGCGCGGCCTTGGCCTTGGCCTTGGCCCTTCCAAATCGACCGGCCCTGTTGGTCACTGGCCCTGGGGCCAATCCTTAAATCGACCGGCCCTGTTGGGCACGCAAGGGTCTGTTGTCCTGGCCCGCGCGCGTGCGGGCTTGGCCTTGGCCTTGGCCCTTCCAAATCGACCGGCCCTGTTGGTCACTGGCCCTGGGGCCAATCCTTAAATCGACCGGCCCTGTTGGGCACGCAAGGCCTTGTCCTGGCCCGCGCGCGTGCGGCCTTGGCCCTTCCAAATCGACCGGCCCTGTTGGCACTCAAGGGTCTTTGGCCTTGTCCTGGCCCGCGCGCGCGCGGCCTTGGCCTTGGCTTTTTCAAGGTTTTTCAAGTTTTTTCAAGGTTTCCAGAATTTTTCAGTGTTTTTCATGGTTTTTCAATGTTTTTCAGGGTGTTTCAAGGTTTGTAACCTTCAATTCTGATGAAGGGCCGCCCCCGCGACCTTTTCACAGCCCAGTTTTGGTCAAGGGGGGGTCGTATTTTTCAATTTTAAAGGCAAAATAGTCTTCGAGACCCCCCCTTGCCTCAAACTCCGACCCCCCCTTGAGAGGGAAAGTTTACCTCCAAAAACACCCCAAATGAGGGGGACCCCAGGATCGGCCCGGGTCCCAACTAAAAATGCGATTTTTTAGTACTGAAATCGACGGCTCTGGGTGGTCTCTCGTTTTCTGGATTTTTGACCAAAACCGAGCCTTCACCGGTTTCAGGATTTCAAGTCCCGCCCCTCTATGGGGGCCGATGAAATGGTTCGTGGGTAGGATGCTCCATGACAGAGGGAGGTTGGAGGACAGGGCTTACTGATGAGAAATGTAAACTCTTTATTTTCTTAATGTTTTGGGATTCTCTGGGTGGGTGGGTTTTTTTCCGTTGCCTACACACACTGCTGGCCTAGTAAATGCTCGAACTTGAGATGCTGAACCCTAAACCCTAAACCCTAAACCTTATCCTACCTAGGAAATTGAGCTGGTGCCACGAACGCCGGGCTTCGCGCTTCTTCTGCCAGCGCTCCAGCTCCTCGTGTAGTTGCCGCAGCTCTTCCCACCACCAGGCCCTTGGAGATACAGGGCTCCAAGGAAGAACAGTTTTGGGTTTAGGGTTTAGGGTTTAGGGTTTAGGGTGCAGCTCTCAAGAGTCTCTAAACCCGGCTAGCACATCTGCCCCGGATCTGCTTTCTTGGCTTCGGGCCAGTCTGCATCGTCCCAGTCTGCGTCCCAGCCCGCATCGTCCCAGTCTGCATCGTCCAGCCATCGCCCCAAGCATCGTCCCAGCCGGCATTGTCCCAGTCGTCCCAGGATACCTGAAAGTTAGGGCTTAGGGTTTAGGGTTTAGGGCTTAGGGTTTAGGGGCAGTGCTTGTGAGTCCAGAAACTCTGAGTTCGCGCAGATGCATTCTCACGCTCAGTTTTGCCGGGGGCGGCTCTTGAGAATGGAACTGGAGAACCCCCAGCCACTTATCTGTTGAACTGAGTTCGCACTCGAAAATTGCATCTATTTTGTCAGATCGCATTAAACCTGAGTTCACGTCAAGATTGTGCACTAAAAAATTGCATCTATTTTGTCAGATCGCATTAACACTGAGTTCACGTCAAGATTGTGCCCTCAAGTTGAATCTGTTTTGTCAGAGCGCATTAAGAAATATACATCTGCTGTTCTCTACCGAAGCTGACGTCCCAGTTCTGGCGTGTTGCACAAGCCTCAAGATCGCTGCCCTTCTGCAAATAAAACAGCTAAATATAGGGGTCGGAAGAAGTACTAAATAGTATTCCCTTCTGGTTCCGTTTATAAATATACTAAATAACCCCCCCAAAACCCTGTTCTAACTATTCAGGCCCCTATACTAAACGTAACGCCGATTCTTGCCAAGATGCATCAGACTGGTTGAGAGGTGGCCGGAGACCTCAGGCTCACTCAGCCTCCATGACTCCAAGATCATCCGACGATATGAAGAATGCACAAAACTACTATCTGCTTAAGCATGCGCCGACCTCTCACACTAAGAATTCCCGCCCTTGCTGCATTGCTGGCAGTGGACTTGCTGTGCTTGTCTTCCCAACTCGCTCCGGCACGGGATTTGGTTGCCACATCTTGGATCACTCAGGGGCCCCAATCTCCCGCACGTGCCCAGAGGCCCATGTGATCTAAGCAGGGTCGGAACGGCATCTCCAGACACCGCGGCAGATTCTCAAGATCGCAAGCGACGGCGCCAGGTTCTAAGGCGTCGGGAGGGGTCTTGCACTGAGGCTGCAGTTCTGGACTCGAAGCACAAGAATGCAGGGCGCCCCCGACTTCTTCTCTCAGGGGTGTTGCTTCTGAGACTCCGTGGCATCGAGGGCTTGAAGACTCAGTTGCCCAGTTGCGTCTGTGTGTGCATAAGTCAATATGGGGGTTTATTGGGGTCCTTATAAACCCCCACATCTTGAGGGCCTTACAGCAATGCTCTGGCCCGGCATCGATGAGGTACGCATCAGAGCAAGAGTCAGAATCGAAACCTCCACTTGCCGCAAGGGACGGAAGCAGAAAGGAAGAAGATGCAAGAGACACCTTGGGCCTTGCAGATTGCTGGTCCTGCCCTCAACCTAGCAAGGATCGCATCTCTTCCTCCTGCAGACCACTCAACATCACTCAACGACATATTCGTGGCTCACAAGCGCCAAGGTCGTGCTTCTTGACGTCTGGGCAAAGGCCTGTTCGACCTCCGCAGCTCGTAGAGGTACCTCTTGGCAGCAACCACGGTGGCAAACACAAGAGGTCCTCTCTGTGAACACATGCGTGGGCACGCTGCGCGAACCAAGCAAATATCAGCGTCTTGTAAGAACTTGGCCAAAGCTTTTCGGTCTCTCAGGCTGTATTCAGCCTGGACTTCGAAACATGTCGACAACTTGCAAAAACCTCGAAGAAACAGCATGGTAGAAAGTCAGAGCAGGAACGTTTGCAAGAACAGGCTACATCCTTTATGCGTTTTCTGGCTTAATGCGGCAATGCGTAGAACTCGGTGGTTCTGCCCATGCTGTCGAAGCCAAGTATGAAACTTGCGCTCGCAATCATCTTTCTATTCAGTGTCAAGACTTCAGACCTGGCACTGCTGCCTGAGAATCCTCGACAGACTTCAATTCTCAACATCCTGCAACTTAACGCTGTGGCATGGGCAAGACACTCAAGATCAGCAAGCCCTGTTCCACCTTGAAGAGCATCTCCATCTCTGACATGCCAGAGCCACCTTGTGCGAAGCCCATGACGCAACCCATGTCTATGGACTCAGTGGTTCCATGTGGTTCCACTCTAGTCCAGGTTGGGGCAGCCCAGGCGACCGGCCTGAGGAGCCCGCGCCGACATGGGATTGAACTTTATTATTGATAAAATTGTGGTGAAGCCACTCTACTTCCCGATCTAGGTGAGGCTATGGCAGACCTGATGTCATGGAGGTCTCGTCGAAAACCACGAACGATTGACGATTGAATAGTACCGCTTCGTGGCAACTGACACACACTGACAGCAAGTGTGCTGGCTATCCCCTTGAGCAACATAAGGCCAACACACACAGGCAAGCTCCAAAGTCAATTGTGTCACATCAAAGCGGCGTGTGCTATCAGTGTACTCAGGATGGCACTGAGTGAACCTCTTTTGTCAAACAACAGGCCGGACATCGCTGGACATGCGTTTCGTCTCACTCCAAACAAGCCTTGAGATGAGCAAAATTGTTTTTAAGGCGTAAAGTGGCACAGGCTTGAAGGTTTAAGTACCTCAGGCCCAGGCAGAAAAGCTACCCAAGGTTGGCAGCTTTGCTATGAAGTTCTGCACGCTGGGCTGCGTCGAGGCTGAGAGGGTGCAGCTTGGAGGCAGACAGAACAACGGAAAAGCCAAACCCAGTTTGTCGTTAAGCCTTTTTGCAACACTGCCCTTGAAGTCAAATTCGCAAGTCCAGGCGCCTGCGCAGAGAGTTTATACATCCAGCAGTGAAACATGCAACGTGCAAGTCACGCTGCAACTGTCAACTTGCACAACAGTAATTACGAATATCAATCCTTTGCAATGAGCCCAGGCATTAGAATTATAACTGCGAGCAGCTACTAATCTTCCGCGACTTGACCAAGCTAAATCGCTGCAATGATGGTTCCAGTTTGCGCTTGCGTTGCAGCTGCATCTGCAGCCACTCTATTGCAGAAATGGTTGTGCCGAACTGCTCTTCATGACGTGAGGCCTCATTGAGTGGATGAGCCGCGTAGTCTGGTTGCTGTTTGGAGCAAGCTCAGCAGCAAAGGTCTCCAGTGGCACTGCATCCTCGAGTTCCACATGACTGCTTAGGTCTGCAATTGCTGACACAGAAGCCTTGACATCTGCACGTGATTCTGAATCTGGTGTGTACCCAGACAGCGTCGTGCTCCACAAACCTTGCACAGCTTTCTTGCAAAGCTCACGTGTTGACTGCGATGGAGATGCACGTCGTTCAAACAAAAGCCTGAACATACCATCTCGGGCTGATATATGGATACAGCGGGTTGTTTTGCAGGATCTTCTCGACCACGCAACCACTCTCTGGAGAAATCCAGGACAACACAAGCAGGGACCCAAATCTAGATGCCATGCGCGCCACTGAATCACGGAGGCTTCCGCGGCAGCGCCCCGAACTTTGAACATCTTTTTCAACAAGTCTGACTGGAGCTGCGGCCCATCTGGCATGCGCTCGTCGCTCTCCACATGGCTTACGATCACCTGAGGCGTGGAGATTGTCATACAAGGCGAGCAAGCTTCGCCTGACATCATGGTGTGGGTAACAGTGTTTCCGGTCCATCTTGTGGGAGAGCATCTTCCTGAAAAAAGCATCCACTCGGCCACCCGCTCCCCGCCTGAACAGAATGATGCCCTCACATGCAACAGCCAGCACCAGCAGCATAATTGATTCGTAGCTGAATGCTTCCCTCCCGCAAGTGATTGAACACTCGCCATTGTTCACCATGAGATCTTCGCAAGAACCAATTCTAAATTCTTGGCGCTGATGTTTGCAGTTGAGCCTACGTGGAAGCTAATTTTGCCGGTCTTGGTACAGTTGGTGTCTCGCAAAAGCTCCTAGTTTGAAGGCAATCAACAGCACTTTCCCAAAGTATATGAACCGTGGATATCATGGAAGCACAAAACCACTCCATCTTTCCCAGCCTGCATCATTTCCGATCCTCAGGGCCCAAACACCATTGATCTCCGATGCAGCTGTGCAGAACGAGGAAAAGGGGCAAGTGAAAATTGGACTTAGCCAACCCGTAGAACGTCAAACGAGTCGGCAGTGCTCTGTTTGCTGCAAGCCTTCGTTCAATGCACTGCCGGGCCTCAGGCCGCATCATGGTGACATGAAGCAAGGCAGTTCTTCTCAAGTGCTGTCGCGAGTGCCTAAGGGATGACGTGCCAGTGCAATAAATGTCTGGAGAGCAACCGGGCCTTGGTACCCTCGTCACCAATGGAATTGCAATCGAGGTTGATCCTGGTGACAGTGCTGTTCTTCTCAAGCGCTGTCGCGAGTGCCTGGGGAAGGGATGAAATGCCAATGCAATAAATGTCTGGAGAGCAACCGGGCCTTGGTACCCTCGTCACCAATGGAGTTGCTCTGGAGGTTGATCGTGGTGACAGTGCTGTTCTTCTCAAGCGCTGTCGCGAGTGCCTGGGGAAGGGATGAAATGCCAATGCAATAAATGTCTGGAGAGCAACCGGGCCTTGGTACCCTCGTCACCAATGGAGTTGCTCTCGAGGCCGATCGTGGTGACAGTGCTGTTCTTCTCAAGCGCTGTCGCGAGTGCCTGGGAAAGGGATGACGTGCCAGCGCAATAAATGTCTGGAGAGCAACCGGGCCTTGGTACCCTCGAGACCAATGGAATTGTTCCCGAGGTTGATGGTGGTGACAGTGCTGTTCTTCTCAAGCGCTGTCGCGAGTGCCTGGGGAAGGGATGACATGCCAATGCAATAAATGTCTGGAGAGCAACCGGGCCTTGGTACCCTCGTCACCAATGGAATTGCCCCGGAGGTTGATCCTGGTGACAGTGCTGTTCTTCTCAAGCGCTGTCGCGAGTGCCTGGGGAAGGGATGAAATGCCAATGCAATAAATGTCTGGAGAGCAACCGGGCCTTGGTACCCTCGTCACCAATGGAGTTGCTCTGGAGGTTGATCGTGGTGACAGTGCTGTTCTTCTCAAGCGCTGTCGCGAGTGCCTGGGGAAGGGATGACATGCCAATGCAATTAATGTCTGGAGAGCAACCGGGCCTTGGTACCCTCGTCACCAATAGAATTGTGCAGGAGGATGATCGTGGTGACAGTGCTGTTCTTCTCAAGCGCTGTCGCGAGTGCCTGGGGAAGGGATGACGTGCCAGTGCAATAAATGTCTGGAGAGCAACCGGGCCTTGGCACCCTCGTGACCGACGGAATTGAGCTCGAGGTTGATGGTGGTGACAGTGCTGTTCTTCTCAAGCGCTGTCGCGAGTGCCTGGGGAAGGGATGACGTGCCAGTGCAATAAATGTCTGGAGAGCAACCGGGCCTTGGTACCCTCGTGACCAATGGAATTGCACACGAGGTTGATCTTGGTGACAGTGCTGTTCTTCTCAAGCGCTGTCGCGAGTGCCTGGGGAAGGGATGACGTGCCAGTGCAATAAATGTCTGGAGAGCAACCGGGCCTTGGCACCCTCGTGACCGACGGAATTGAGCTCGAGGTTGATGGTGGTGACAGTGCTGTTCTTCTCAAGCGCTGTCGCGAGTGCCTGGGGAAGGGATGACGTGCCAGCGCAATAAATGTCTGGAGAGCAACCGGGCCTTGGTACCCTCGTGACCAATGGAATTGTTCCCGAGGTTGATGGTGGTGACAGTGCTGTTCTTCTCAAGCGCTGTCGCGAGTGCCTGGGGAAGGGATGACATGCCAATGCAATAAATGTCTGGAGAGCAACCGGGCCTTGGTACCCTCGTGACCAATGGAATTGCCCCCGAGGTTGATCGTGGCGACAGTGCTGTTCTTCTCAAGCGCTGTCGCGAGTGCCTGGGGAAGGGATGACATGCCAATGCAATAAATGTCTGGAGAGCAACCGGGCCTTGGTACCCTCGTCACCAATGGAATTGCCCCGGAGGTTGATCGTGGTGACAGTGCTGTTCTTCTCAAGCGCTGTCGCGAGTGCCTGGGGAAGGGATGAAATGCCCATGCAATAAATGTCTGGAGAGCAACCGGGCCTTGGTACCCTCGTCACCAATGGAGTTGCTCTCGAGGCCGATCGTGGTGACAGTGCTGTTCTTCTCAAGCGCTGTCGCGAGTGCCTGGGGAAGGGATGACATGCCAATGCAATAAATGTCTGGAGAGCACCCGGGCCTTGGCGCCCTCGTCACCAATGGATTTGCCCCCGAGGTCGATCGCGGTGACAGTGCTGTTCTTCTCAAGCGCTGTCGCGAGTGCCTGGGGAAGGGATGACATGCCAATGCCTTTGTCAGGGAGCAGCTTGGCTTGATGACTATTGTAAGGCAAATCGCATCTCATTGTGCGAGATAGCACGTTGTGGATCCACAAAGTCTGCCTCTTCCACATGCATGTTTCAATTGAGTCAGGCCTTTATACGTGGGCGTGGGTCTGCATCCTGGAGCTGTGGCTGGTCAACGTTGCCTTCTGCATCTGCAACCTAGATTTGTGGCATGACTTGCATGCAACCACTGAAGGAAGCAGAAAGGGTGACTCACCAAGTCGTGCGCAAGAGTAGGGTCGAGTCCCAAATCAAACTGCAAACTTGAGTTTGAAGTTTGAATTTTATGCATCAGTCAACAATGCACTTAAAACGTCTGATGCGCTCCTCTGCTGACTACCGTAATCTCCAATGCAGCTGTGCAGACTGGAAAAGGGGCAATGAAAATTGGACTTAGCCAAACGACCGTAGAACGTCAAGATAAATTACTAAACATGACGAGTCGCCTGTGCTCTGTTTCCTGCAAGCCTTCGTTCAATGCACTGCCGGGCCTCAGGCCGCATCATGGTGACATGAAGCAAGGCAGTTCTTCTCAAGTGCTGTCGCGAGTGCCTATGGGATGACGTGCCAGTGCAATAAATGTCTAGAGAGCAACCGGGCCTTGGCACCCTCGTCACCAATGGAATTGCGATCGAGGTTGATCGTGGTGACAGTGCTGTTCTTCTCAAGCGCTGTCGCGAGTGCCTGGGGAAGGGATGAAATCCCAATGCAATAAATGTCTGGAGAGCAACCGGGCCTTGGTACCCTCGTCACCAATGGAGTTGCTCTGGAGGTTGATCGTGGTGACAGTGCTGTTCTTCTCAAGCGCTGTCGCGAGTGCCTGGGGAAGGGATGAAATGCCAATGCAATAAATGTCTGGAGAGCAACCGGGCCTTGGTACCCTCGTCACCAATGGAGTTGCTCTCGAGGCCGATCGTGGTGACAGTGCTGTTCTTCTCAAGCGCTGTCGCGAGTGCCTGGGGAAGGGATGACATGCCAATGCAATTAATGTCTGGAGAGCAACCGGGCCTTGGTACCCTCGTGACCAATGGAATTGCCCCCGAGGTTGATGGTGGTGACAGTGCTGTTCTTCTCAAGCGCTGTCGCGAGTGCCTGGGGAAGGGATGACATGCCAATGCAATAAATGTCTGGAGAGCAACCGGGCCTTGGCACCCTCGTCACCAATGGAGCTTGACTCGAGGTTGATGGTGGTGACAGTGCTGTTCTTCTCAAGCGCTGTCGCGAGTGCCTGGGGAAGGGATGACATGCCAACGCAATAAATGTCTGGAGAGCAACCGGGCCTTGGCACCCTCGCGACCAATGGAGCTGAAGTTGAGGTTGATGGTGGTGACAGTGCTGTTCTTCTCAAGCGCCGTCGCGAGTGCCTGGGGAAGGGATGACATGCCAATGCAATAAATGTCTGGAGAGCAACCGGGCCTTGGCACCACTGTTGAGGGTGATCGTGGTGACAGTGCTGTTCTTCTCAAGTGCTGTCGCGAGTGCCTGGGGAAGGGATGACATGCAAATGCAATAAATGTCTGGAGAGCAACCGGGCCTTGGTACCCTCGTCACCAATGGAATTGCCACAGAAGTTGATCGTGGTGACAGTGCTGTTCTTCTCAAGCGCTGTCGCGAGTGCCTGGGGAAGGGATGACGTGCCAGTGCAATAAATGTCTGGAGAGCAACCGGGCCTTGGCACCCTCGTCACCAACGGAATTGTGCGAGAGGTCGATCGTGGTGACAGTGCTGTTCTTCTCAAGCGCTGTCGCGAGTGCCTGGGGAAGGGATGACATGCCAATGCAATAAATGTCTGGAGAGCACCCGGGCCTTGGCACCCTCGTCACCAATGGAATTGAGCTCGAGGTTGATCGTGGTGACAGTGCTGTTCTTCTCAAGCGCTTTCGCGAGTGCCTGGGGAAGGGATAACATGCCAATGCAATAAATGTCTGGAGAGCACCCGGGCCTTGGCACCCTCGTCACCAATGGAATTGCCCCCGAGGTTGATCGTGGTGACAGTGCTGTTCTTCTCAAGCGCTTTCGCGAGTGCCTGGGGAAGGAATGACATGCCAATGCAATAAATGTCTGGAGAGCAACCGGGCCTTGGCACCCTCGTGACCAATGGAATTGCTCTCGAGGTTGATCGTGGCGACAGTGCTGTTCTTCTCAAGCGCTGTCGCGAGTGCCTGGGGAAGGGATGACATGCCCATGCAATAAATGTCTGGAGAGCAACCGGGCCTTGGTACCCTCGTCACCAATATAATTTTCCCGGAGGTTGATCGTGGTGACAGTGCTGTTCTTCTCAAGCGCTTTCGCGAGGGCCTGGGGAAGGGATGACATGCCAATGCAATAAATGTCTGGAGAGCAACCGGGCCTTGGCACCCTCGTGACCAATGGAGTTGAACTCGAGGTTGATCGTGGTGATAGTGCCGTTTTTCTCAAGCGCTGTCGCGAGTGCCTGGGGAAGGGATGACATGCCAATGCCTATGTCAGGGAGCAGCTTGGCTTGATGACTATTGTCAGGCAAATTGCATCTCATTGTGCGAGATAGCACGCTGTGGATCCACAAAGTTTGCCTCTTCCACATGCATGTTTCAATTGAGTCAGGCCTTCACAATGGCCTTTGCTGTCTTTGCGGAGTTTGCTCGGATCTGTAGCTTTTGGAGGACTTCGTGTGCTCCCAGTGCCTGAAGGCTTCCAAAAATGATGGCTCATAGGGAAATGCAGGACAAGTCCCAGCCTCCCCAAGAGCGTGGGCCTCCCTTTCATTGGCTTCGAAGTTGAGCAGCTGCAAGATTCGGAGGCGGTGGTAGAATGGCAACGACTTGGCCAACTGCATCACCTCACCTTCTGGGAGGTTTTCGAAATGCACCTCCTCACACACCGTCACCTTCTCATGAAAAATCTTCTCCTGTAGTTTGATGACTTGCGGGGCATCATGACGGTGTGTGAATTTTGAGTTTGCCATGTGCTTCTCAAATTCTTTGGGGGCCATGGGCACTTTGCCCCTGAAGCTGGCCCCGGATTCAATTTGCACCGCATCGATTTGTTGGTTCTTCTTGGTGGCACTTTTGGCCGAAGACCACTCGATCTCGGCGAGGCACCACCCACGCATCTTATATGGGATCGGGTTGTGCAACAATTCTCGGAGCGGAATGGTCTGGATCGATTTGCTGGGTACATGATAAACCGGGACTTTCTGCTCCGAGTTGTTCAGCCAAAAATCATCTGGGGTGAGACATTCAAGACGGAAGGTCAAGCAGTGCTCATGAGCATACATTACATGCATGTTGGCCATCGATCGCCGGAAGCTCTCCTCTTCCTCTGGCGTCTGCCGCTCAAATTGAAAAAGAGAAATATAATCGTAAAATATCCAAATTTCTGAGAAATAAGCGGCATCATAGAGAGCTACACAGCTGACCAACTTCTCTAGTTGGAAGCAACATGGGTCTGGGTGCTGTTGACTTTCCCAACTATGGGAAACCGAGCAAAGGATCGCATCTCTTCCTCCTGCAGACCACTCAACAACATGTTCGTGGCTCACCAGCGCCAAGGTCTCCTCGCTCAGAGGAATGGCATGAGAACACTAGATGATTCGCATGTCATAGCGGCCTGCTGTGCTTCTTGACGTCTGGGCAAAGGCCTGTTCGACCTCCGCAGCTCGTAGAGGTACCTCTTGGCAGCAACCACGGTGGCAAACACAAGAGGTCCTCTCTGTGAACACATGCGTGGGCACTCTGCGCGAACCAACCGAATATCAGCATCTTGTAAGAACTTGGCCAAAGCTTTTCGGTCTCTCAGGCTGTATTCAGCCTGGACTTCGAAACAAGTGGGGAAAATGGGGCAAGCGAGGGCAAGTGGGGGCAAAGTCAATTAGCTCTTCCGGACAACCAAGTGGGACAAGTGGGGGCAAATCACTGCAATTTCAACTTCGAATAGTGGTTCCCGTCTGCACCCGCAATGGGCTGTCTTCTGCCTTCATGCTGGGCCGTGATTTGGAGATGAGGCTTTGTGCCAATCTGCAACAAAACTCGCAGTTGGCTCTGAGGCATGCACACCTTCAGCTGGCTCCGAGCTCATCTCTAGATGAAGCCGTCAGCCTTGGTCACGGGCAGCTCTCGCTTCTCCTATCTGCGCAACCTGCACAAAACCCGAAAGAGCCAACAACAGAAGAAGTGCTGGCAAAACCTGAATCAAATCAAAAAGGTTTGGGGGCTTCAGGCTCTGAGGTCCAGGGCTTGCAGCCGTGTAAGACTTGGCAGCTAGCTTGCAGCAGGCGTCTACAAGATTCCCGAGGTGGCTCTATCACAACACTCCAGGTGCCTGGGCTTGTATAAGTAGATGTTCTTTATCGAGTTTGGCCCTATATTCGGTACAGTGCGTCCCATGATCAGGTTTAGTAACAAAACAAAATTTCTGAGCCGTTCTGAATGTCTCAGGTGCTGCCCCTAGAACCTGAAGCCCGGGCTGCAGGATAGAGCCTCTTCCTCGGGTTGCATGCACCTGCCAAAGCCCTAAAAAGAGCCTTAACTGATAACAAACACGTGAACCCTCGACTCCAAACCCCATAAAAAGAAAATAACATAATAATAAATCATATAACCTAGAAAGCCTGGAAACACTTAGAATAAAACTTGATTCAACCCGAAACATCCCCCCTTGAACCCCCTATAAGCTTCATGGACTCCTCGGCCCCCCCAAAATCCGCGAACCCACCGACGCTTTTTCAGGCTTTCTTGCCCCCCCCCCCCCCCGAGCGGGCTCACGCAGCCCAGGGCCTTCCGAAGTTTTGGGGGCACTCCGCGGGGGCTTCTCCTGGGGTTTCTTTTTCTCGTTCAAAGGGGGATTCAATGTGGGGCCAGCGTGAGATTCTTATTCTAGGGGACTAACAAGGGATTCATAGGGGGGCAACTGGGATTGTAGAGGGGGATTAAGAAAAGGGGGGTTTAGGAGTTGTGGCTTTGGAGGGCCCATCGTTTCAGATCCCGTTCGGGTTTCGGGTTCCAGCTTTGGGGTCACGGCCGGGCGCAGGGGTGGTTTAACGTGGTTGAATGTCTTTAGCACCATTTTTTTTACGCTGATCGCCCCAATCCTGAAACCCTATAAACACCCCATAGACCCAACAAAGCCCCAGTGCTTTGGCTCAAGCCCTGAACCCCGAGAGCCCCTCTTGAATCCGACGGGGCTCCCGGAGGTTGGAGACTCTGTGCCCCAGAGCCCCCAAGCGCCCCCAAGCGCCCACAAGCGCCCCCCACGATTAAATTGAAGAATATAGGGACACTTTAGGGGCCCTTGAAGAGCGAAAGCCCTGAGCCAGGCTCCCGGCTGCAATCTTCAACCTGAGCTTTCGAGGCTTTCCGGCTTGAGGGTTCAAAAGGCTCTGCTGAGTTTCCAACAAAAAAAAAAGGGTGTAGGGTTGAGGGTTTAGGGTTTAGGGTTCAGGGGTTGGGACCGCCGGAGCCCATTTTCCGGGCTTCCGGACGCTTTAGGGTTCAGGGTCTGCGACCCCTCGCGCTCGCCCTCGATCAGCCTGATAATTACCGGAACCAGGAATCTTAGGCAACGCTACACCGTCCCATCGTCCTTCGGATTTGGGCGCCCTTGCCTTTGCTCGGAACCACGAGCGGGCCGCGAAGGTGACAATTCTGTCGCAGTCGCTGGGCCGCTATAGGTTCAATGCTTTCTCAAGGCTGGAGCGTGCAGCCGTATGTTGAAAACTGCCAAGGACATACGTGCTAATTACATATACGCATACTCCGCGCAGCACTGTGGCACATTTTTCTAGAAGCCCTTGAAAAGACCAAACCCCAGCATGGCCTAACAACTTCTGCGACTCTGTCTGCTCATGTCGTGTGCGAAAACAACCTGCGCAGCCGCTCCGAGCCCAGCTTGGCAGAGAGGCAGCCGTCGTTGATGGGAGAGCTCAGGGCCGTTGAGGGTTGCCAAAGGGCTCACGAATCAAAAGGGAGCTTATAGTACACCTAGGCCGTACTAGATTAGACTCTACTCCACTCCAGTCTGGTATAGCCATCCTGACTCTACGAGCGACCAGTGGTCCGATAAAATCCATCAGAAGCACCACGCAGCGATCCGCCAGCAGTGAACCCCCATGCCACACCTTCGGTAAGTTGTGTGCCGCGGTCAGCCCCAATCCAAGCGGTCTTGCCGCACCACCCGCCGCAACGCAGAAGAGACTTTAGAAAGACTTGAAGCAACTTCTTTGGCTCACCCACAGGGCGCATGAATCAAACGCGCAGCTCTGCACCGCCTCGCTCTCAATTTTCTCAGACCCGAAGGGTCTAGAACTTCCTCCAACAAGCCCACTGGTTGCCCGAAGTGAGTCTGGAGTGAGGTACGACAGGTACGAGTTGGAGTTGCCGTTAGGGCAATACAGGACCCGGGGCGGTGACGGTCTGCTCACAGCAAAATCCAGTGGGCGGGACGCATTCGAGCCCACTCCTACATTGCCCCGAACGTTGGCCTTGTTGTAAATGAGAAACGCGATTGAAGCGTGCGAAGTTTCGTCACGGTGTTCATGGTTGTGTTTGACGATGATGTGGGAAGAGAGATGGTCGGGTTTGCGCCGAAGGGTTTCATAGCCTCACATGTTGAAATGCTGAATCCCCTACATTTGAGACAACATGTTAACAATGTGACAGCGGCAAACAGCGTAGCATGAACAACTCGCCAGCACAAGCAGAACATGAGCAACGTGCCTTTTCTACTCACGAAAATCTCTCTGACAAAGTGCTTGAAACGTAGCGAAACAGCTGTAAAGTGACGACGTTACAAAGAAACCCCATCGGAAACATAGCCCGAGAAAAGGGTCTGTGCAGTCGCTTCTGGACGCGCAAACCAGGCTACTTCTGAAATACTTCTGAGGGCGGCGCGAAAGTTAGTCAATCCTAGGGGGGTGGTCAATGCGTTAGTTCGGGGCTACTTAGGTATATACAGGGACTATATAAGGTATATGTGGAGGTCTTTTTTGTAAATAGGGGTTCTATAGGGGAATGAGATTAAGAGGCTCAGAGGAAATACGGGTACTGCTGGCTGGACTGCTTGTCCCAGATGGTGCCCAGCGCGTAGACCTCCGCGGTCTCCAAGGTCGCTTGCTCGGTGCCCTTCGCCACCACCGAGACGCCTCCCCCAACAGAGAGGGAGAGAGACAGAGGGAGAGGGAGAGGGAGGGAGGGAGAAAGAGAGAGAGAGAGAGATAGAAAAAAAGAGAGAGAGAGAGAGAGAGAGAGGGAGGGAGGGAGGGAGTGGGGGAGGGAGGGGAGGGAGGGAGGGAGGGAGGGAGGTAGAGAGACAGAGCTTATACCTATTTTGCTGCCAAAACATTCTTTGTTGAGGGAAGTGTGGGGGATGCTTCTGTAGGAGAGAGCTATAGGCTATAGGCTCTAGCCCCCCAAAACAAAAGAGCACCGGGGTCTGTTTACATTCATGCTCAGACACGTAAGGCTTTAGACTCACGCCTGATTCTACACTCCCCTTAGAACCTTAATTCAAATAAATGGTTAGCATCCCCTTGGGTTTTGTATGAGTAATAATAATTCCAAAGGGGGGCGAATAAGATTCCCACCAAGCAACCTGCTGAGTCCATCTCCGGGATGTACAGGCGCGCGGTGAGCCGCTCAAGGCCCTGATCCTGGGGGCACTTTTTCTCCCCTAAACCCTATAATACCCTTTGGGGGTGGGGGGCTCAACTTCCTTTGTTTTTCTTTTTTTCTTTTGGGGGGGGGGGGGGGGGGTCCCCCAAGCCCCTTTCACCCTTTGAGGGTGGGGGGGCTCGATTTCTTTTGTTTTTTTTTTTGGGAGGGGGAGGAAACCCTAAAACCCTAGCCCTTTTGGGGGTGGGCCAAGGTCCTTGAAGCTCTCGGTCACGGAGCCATCCTGAGCAAGAGAGGCTCAAATTCAGAATGGCAGAGGCCGCAAAGGCCATGGTGGAATCTGTTGGTGAGTGCTGAGTAGTGATTGAAATGCATTGGACAATCTGAATACATAGGCAGCAACCCGAGTGTGCTAAAAGCAGCCTGGGATCGTTAAAGACGTGCAGGGACACGCGTGCCCTCCCCGCGACGTCCGGGTCAGGCATCACCCGGGCACGGCCTCCTGTCGTGAATTTCGCCCCTTGCGTTCCCGAGGAGGAGGTGTCCAGTATCAACAGAGGCGACTTCACGAAGCCCGAGACGCAGCAGGCCGAGGTCTTGCGCTGGGCAGCGGTTGCCTTCGCTGCTGAGTTCATAAGCCCCCCAAAAAAGTGTGCACTTTCAGTTCTTTTGGGGGCGTATAGTATCCCAAAAAGTGTAAAGCGTACTCGCTCAGCTACTCAGTTGCAAACGTCTTGAGGGCACAGCTTGGGGTGGCGTCGGCAGTCCTGCCGCTCTCGCTCGCGCGCGTCTGTCCAGGAAGCACGTATGTCCAGGCCACGCATCGCAAGTCGTTCAAGCAAAAGTCGGAACAGTTTTGGGCATTTGCAGCGTCAGGTGCATGTGGACTCATCGGGAAGTTCATGTAGTCAATTCCAGGGATGTCTGTCGTGTTCAGGATCTGCCCACCAAGAGGGTTCGAAGTCAGGCCAACACTGGCGTATTGCGTTGCGGACACTTCGCGGATGCGAAGCCCAAGGAACGCCTCAGGCTCAATGTCAAAGAGGTCCTGCGGGAACGTAATGGTGGCGATGATTTCTTGTTGCTGGGAGCCTCCCGGCTTCACAAGATTCAAAGGGCTGGTAGCGGAAAGCACTTGCGGAACCGCCGAATGGTAGAGGGTCTCCTGGCGCAAGCCATCCAGCGAGGGAAGCGGGTATACTCGGAGGGTGCGGTACTGGGAGTCGTATTCCATGACTCGCGGAAGTGCCTGCAGACCGGCCCACTTTCCATTTGATAACCCATACTCCCGGACCCATCCGAATATGATACGCCTGTTCATGACAGGGTCGAAGAAGGACTTGGAGGCATAGTAGTTTCCATAATCCAGTGGGACTGCGCTGCCCATCCGGACAAACTCCCTGCTCTCCCAGTCAAAGAGACCGAGCCAGTAGAAATCCAACGTGACGACCATCATGGACAACTTCAAAACCCAAATGCCAGCAGGGCTCATGATGTCGTCAGCTTCTGTAGGTTGCAGGTTAAAGAAGTCGGGGCACTCAAACATTCCCCGCGGCACATAGTTCTCTTGAAGCAGTATGCTGTCAAAGCTCCACCTCCGAAACGAAGAGTCGGCCGAGTAGCCAACCACTGCAGCTACCGGTGCACCGGCTGCCTCGCCACCCGCACCCTTCAAGCTGGTCGCTAGGTGCATGAGGTAGAGCTGGCGCCTCTCATCCCACAATGCAGTCGTAGGGTCTCGGAAGATCGTGATGCTCAGGCCACCTGGTGGCACTGAAGCGATGACCGGGTTGTCGGGATCTTCCTGCCACTCGATCAGCATCGGGTCGGAAGTGTTCTTGGGCCACGCCAAACACTGGAGTTGAGCTTTTGTGCCTGCACAGGTGTAGGCAATGATCGGATGGCTGCCATTCACCAAGGTCACCGAGCCGGAGTAAAACCCGGCATCCGCGTATGGGTACTTGGAAGGATTGAACCTCAGGGCTTCCGTCACGCCCACGTGCTCCCAAGTGACGCCGTCCCAGCTCACGACGTGGTACCAAGACATATTCCCCCAGTTTGCACCGCCGGGGTTGTATTGCATCCACAGATGGATTAGGCCAGTTCTGGGGTCGCGGAAGGGCCCGTTGGGATCGTTGATCCAATTTTCCTTGGTAGCCCAGCAACCATATCACAGTAAGGGCACCCTTCTTTTTGGGATGGCCACTTCATAAAGGGAACCCAGAACCAAAAAAAAAAAAAGAGTAAAGGGCACCACTGGGCCACCAAGCTTCAGGTGGCCGCACATGAAACACAGGAAAGTAGGGGTCAGCCTCGGGATCGGAAGCAGCTGAAAGTCCTCCGAGCAGAGCAGCCAGCATGGCCAGCACGGGATGCACAAAAGAAGCCATGGACATTGCTCAAATGTCTTATCTACACGTCCGACATCGTCCCAAAAAAGACACCAGTCTCTGCCAAGAGCCCAAATGACAACCCAAGCATGTTCCTTGCTTGGTCTCACACACGGCACAAGCAAGAGCTGGTTGCGCATGGGATGGCCCTAAACCCCACAAGCCAGATTGTGATTGTGATTGGTTCTCAAAGTAAAAGAGATGGATAGAGCGAAAGCAAAATGAATATGGAAAACGAAATCACTTGCTATAGAGACACCCAGTCAATGCGCAAGTCAATGTGCCAAGAATCCCCTTAGAACTTAGAAGCTACTTAGAAGAATTTCGTGACGCACCAAAAACCCAAACGAATTCAATGCTGACAGGCGTGCCGAAATTAGAAGTGAGCTAGAGATCGCGTGAACTTATTGCAAAAAAGCGAGGCCTGGAGCACAACTCTGTTCTGGACTATTGTGGTTGCCCCCTGCCAAACAAATCACCAGTCGCAAGGCAAGGAAGGAACGAAATTGCCTGTAACTGCATGCATCGCTCTCACCGGGTGGAGGTTTCGACGCTTACTCTCGCACGCGGCCGGCAAGGTAAACAGGATAGAGATTTAAGGGTAAAACCTGAGGGTTTCTGGCCCGTAGTGCTTCAACTCAGCATAGCCTAGCGCATGCACAGAAAGGCCATAAATCTGGAAAGTCCAATTCGAGCCAAAGGCTCCGTTGCAAGAAAGCCATTGAAACTTGAGCTGAGTTTGCGTGAATAATGGAAGCTTCGCTGTTGTCGACAGGAGCAGCGTTGCCCCGCGTTTCCAGCCGGCTCACCACGACAGCCCCGGCATTTGGCAGGGGGGGAAGTGCAAGGCCTCCTATTCACCTGAATCCAAAACCTCTCCGCTCGAGCGTAATGCCTCTAGACCGCTGAACCTCACGCACAGACAAGGCATCACATCTCAACACATCTTTCTGCTCCCGCGGCGCAGAGCTCAACTAACGCCTTCAGCGGAACATGCGCTTGCCCAGTTCATCACCTGAGCCCAACGGTGATGCTTCCTGAGCCCCAAATAAAATCCTAACTCCCAAACCCAACAAACAGCACAGTTGGAAGGAAGCTGCAAAGGGTCCTCAGGGCTCTCCCCCCAAAGTCGGGCTCTGGCTGGAAGGGTGCGATGATCGGCTCTGGTTGAAGGTAATTAAACATAAGTAACATAACCACTCATGGTTTTTCGCACCGTGGGGTTGAGGGAATGCTGGTAGATGGCACACGGTCTGAGGAAATTGAAGTCGAAACTTTCCCCATCGCATGCGAATTCAAGCGATTTAACAACACGTGAAGGCGAAACGGCAGGCAGCAAGATGCTTCGGCAAAATCTGCTGTTCACACTTCTTGGCAACAGAGGCGGCATGGAATGACCTTGCCTGAATTGATTCTCCTTGGTAATGCACGCAAACTGAAAGGCAACGGCAACGCACCGATGTTGCTCTGCCAAATTTGGCTGGAACTAGGTTGATCCCAGTGGGCACACTGAGCATGCAGCAGTTTAACAAAGCGCACAGCACCAAGCAGCAACATTTCTGCCACATACACCAAACATGCATCACGTGAGAAGCTCTCGGCTTCCATGGCTGTCTGAATGCTTCACGCATGCTCTTGGAGCGTGCCTTTGCGCTGGGTTTCTGCCACAGCAAGTTTGCTGCCGGGAACCCTGACTGGAGGCAACAGTGTGAATGGAACTGCATGGCTTGTCGACTCTATCAAACACACAAGTCCAACACCAACTAGGAGATATTGCTAAACACTCTAGGCCTTGCACATGGGCTCACTGTGCAGAACAACTGGTGCATTTGGCCAATGAAGCTCGAAACTGACGGAAAAGGCCAAGTCTCTAACGGATTGTGCGCCGTGCGCCTATTCTACGGGCGACGATCAACAGCAAGAAATTGCCTTACTTGGCAAGCAGCTCTTGAACCTTGGTGTTGCAGTCCACATCTCACCAACACGAGTCAAGCGGTGGCCATCTTTGCCCGGCGCCAGTGCTGCGCAGCAAGTGAATACCTGCACGCAAAGCTCGCACGTATAAATGAATATCTATATCTACGCACAAATGAACTCTGCATCTTTATCTGTAAGCTTATACTCATACTTATACTCATACTTATACTTATCCTTATACTTATACTTATACTTATACTTGTACTGTACTTGTACTTGTACTTGTACTTGTACTTCTACATATACTTATACTTATACTTGTACTTATACTTATACTAACACTGATGCTTATACTTGTGCTTATACGCACTCACCCGAAGCGGACCAGCCAAGTCTTGTTGCTGGCCCAAACATTCGTCTTGCCACCCAATGTATCTTGGCTAGACATGTCTCCCATGGTGTTGAGGATCTTTCCAACAGTCCCCAAAATTCCCGTGCTGATTGAGGAAGGCATAGATGACCTCGAAAGGAATCTCAATGACATCTATCAAGATCCAAGGCTTTCCCTTTATTGCCGGCAACTTGTGGAAACGGTCATTCTTCAACACAGTCTGCGGGGCACGTCTTGGCTTCGGAGGATTCTACGGGGTCGAAGGACCGGTGCTCTTTACTACCAAGGAGTTCAAGAGGGGCACCACCCAAGACTTCCAGAACAGCAGGCCGGAACATTAAGTCAGCTGAGCTGAGCGCCGCGTTCTTCCAGATTTTGGACACCAAGACTTCTACTGCACCTGGCAACTTCTCCAAGCCGAGGCCGGAAGCACCCAGCAAATCTCTCATAGTGTGCTTTGAATCCGCCACCTTCAATTGTCATCGCAACCTTGCGAGCTGCAGCTTTCCCTGTCGTCCCAAGTCCCCTTGATTCAGCCGTAGCCCTCTTCTGCACCATCAAGGCCTCGTCCATCTTCGACCTGGACATGCCTCGTCTTCGCACACGTCAGCCGCACCAGCGCGAGTGCGATAGTCCGAATCAAGCCTTTTGAGCATATCATGGCTTGAGCTCCTCGCCGAAGCTTTGGGTGGAGGGCAGATCCCAGAAGCAGCTCCCTCCTACAACAAGCACGTGTCGTCGCCATGTCGCTTGCCTGCCAGCTTCCCCACAAGAACCGATGCAAGGCCTGAGTTGGCTGAGCACACAGGATCGTGAAAACTTCAAGGATCACATATCCACTCTGTTGATGCTGGTTGCTCTGGCATGCTCTGGCATGCTCTGGCCTGAGTGCTGCAAGGTAGAAAGAATCCACGTCTGGGCTGCACTGCAGGAAGTCGGTCACTACTCTGAGCACCACGCACATCAGTCCAGTAGAGGATGGCATTCGGTTGCACTCAGAGAGTGTGCGGGGCATCTTGTTCCTCAGGTAGGTGTGTGTGTGTGTGTGCGCACAACTCGCCGGGCCATTTCCTCTCGCACGGTGACACGACCCAACGGAGGCCCTTGGACATGGGAACAGAAGTAACTAGCTGACCCTCGGAAGCTCCTCGATGTCAGGAACAATCCAACCACATTGACTGCGGTGCTACGAGTAGATGGTCAGTGCTCTACTTTACGGTCTGGTTTTCTGTGCCCCAGTCAACCCGTTACACAAAAGGCAAGCATACTTCGGGCATTTCCCTAAATAGACCACTAATAATGTACCTCCAAAAACTGTGGTCTTTACTGCAGGACCCCCTCAAAATAGGGTACAGCCTATTTCCTAAGCCCTTGTTTAGAGAACTTCTTTAGAGAACTGGCCAAATGCTCAAGGCAGGTGGCTTTCGGCCATGGTCCACGACATCGTCGAGCTCGGCCTCTGACATCCCTGCGCGTCCTTGGCAGAACAAAGGCTTTGGGTTCAGAGCCCTTTGGACGTATGGCTTCAGCATGTCTACGCATGTATAAGAATTTTTAAGACTCTTTAAGACTGGTGCAAGTAGGGGCACATGCTGGGCACATAGAGATTCAATAACTTACTGAGAAGCCGGCCTTTGATGAAACCATTGAATCGCGCAAGTCCTGTGCAGCTCCGAGACATTGCCCCATGTGTGCAGAAGACATCGCATGTCAGTTGTGGTTCCCACCACATCCCTTTCAAATGCTCAGGTGGCATACGACTTGATCTGACCCCAAGTCCTACCCCTTAGTAGTGCTAGCAAGTACGATTCAGAGGACTGCACGGTTCATGCGGCACCTTGCACACAGAGCCTTGCGACAAAATAGCAAACCGAAGTTGTACAAGCTGCATGCCAGGACAGTCCCGGGTGATCAGTGTGCATCTCGCAAACGGCGCGAAGATCGCCACGATCTGAAGAGCAGCCGCTACTCCAGATTTGCATGCTTTCACACTTGCCCAACAGAGTCCACGAACATTTTCACGAAATCTTCAAAGGCAAACCCCGACTCAAGCTACCCCGTCACTGAGCTCCGCACCCAGAAAATGAAAGGGATGACTACCAGAGGCAGCTGTGTATCAAAGCATTGGCGCATCAAAGCCATAATTCAACCTTGCACTGTCTGTGGCTCGCACGACCACCGCCGCATATAGTGCATGTGCGAAAGTGTGCTAACATGCCTCACTTTTGTGCTCTGAGGTGCAGGGCCACTGTTTCGCAAGCTTGCGCGAGACGAGGGGTCTCCTACAGGTGGGATGTTTCCAACAGGTGGCAACGTCTGGAAATTTGATAGTTCCAGCTTCTCAAATATCCGGCATCTTCACATTGACGTAGATGTGGATCCGCGACCTCAGCGTTCCGGGCGCATCAAAGTAAAACAACCAGAATGCTTCCATCAGGACAGCTTGCAAAGAGTAAGATAACACAAACAGCCATCTGCAAGTGCATATTCCGGCAAACAACATGGCGTCGATTCAGTTTTCATAACACGCAGGGTCGGGATCACGCCGTGCTCATGCTCTTCCATCGCGGATAGCATTGCGGCCACCCAACGAACAGTGATACTCATGCAACATGTTTGCGACATTCAGGCCTTGCCGCTTCCAGGTTTTGAGTTGCCGCCGCTCGGCATACATCCATCGCTTCACGCTTCCCAAAGATGGCGCCAAGTTCTCCAAGGCATCTTTCACATCAGGATCCTCTAAGAATCTAGCAGATGCAATCTTCTCAGCCTCTTCTGTAGTGTCGGCCTCTCCGAAATACTGCTGCGAGTTAAAGCACGGCACTCTGAGAGCGGTGAAGAAACGGCCGCTCAAGGTGTGCCTAGTCACAAACTTGATATCTTCGGTGGTCACCGCCCTGTTCAAGTAGCGCTCCAGAAACAGAGTCACGGCGGTCTTGGGGTGCAAGCCCTCCACTGACATGCCAGGTCTTGGAGGAGAGTCGACGCGTCGTTTTCTCGATCCCGGCTTCGCCTTTCTCTTTGGAAGTGGCGCCTCGACCTTCGGAAGCTAAGAAAAATTTAGGCTGAGCCCCAAACACCACTGTACGATAGATCCAGAATGAAACTTGTAACACTCTCAAAACTTATGAGTACAGTCATACTTTATCCAACTTCAGGCTGCCCACAAGCCTTGTCTCCCTCTTTGGAGTCGTCCTCCTTGTCTTTTCCCTTCCAGTCGTCCTCCTTGTCTCTAAGCAGGAGGAGTTCCAGCTACTGTCCAAGGGCAGAATTGTTGCTATCGAAACGCACGCAGCGACGTAAAATGATTTGCTCCGTCTGTCGGTCGAGCCTGCTCGCCGGTCGTGCCAGACGAGCACCTGCATCACGCAATACATGAAGAAACGCACGTGCGTGGATTATAGCCCACCTACACCTCAGCAACCAACAAGCGAGCCATAGTGGTGAAATAGGGCCAGGCTTCAATCGTTCTATCCTGGTGCTACTGGGGCGGTTCATGTTGTCACGGCTTAGCCAATGCCGTCAAAATAAAGACGGCATGTCACTGAGAAACTTGGGAGACAGGTCCAGAATTCAGCCACTAGAAGCCTAAATCCACACATCCACCCAAGAAGCGGTTTCGGGATTTTGCTCGGGGCCTCCTTTCAAGCTTCACTGGCGTCAGGGTATCATCCTGCCGTGACTTTCTGGGTGCAGCACAAACGCGGTGCAATCCAAGAGTGCTTCGAGTAACTAGCAAAGCTGACAACGAAGGCTTCACAGCTTAACTGATCATGTATAGCCATAGTCAAATGGTGCAGAAGCCAATTGTGTCGAACCCAGAAGCGGCACCAAATTCGCAGCAGCCCGCGCCTGTGTGGGCACATCCTTTTCGGGCCGTGTCAAGGTCAAGCCCGGAGAGTACTCCTCGCCGGCCATTGTTCCCTAATCGGAGAAACGGAATCTGTGACTTGAGCCAAATATTGACAGACAAGTAACTCACCAACTTGCACCCATGCGTCTTCAAAGGTGACTGCTCTGGTCGCATCATCTCAGTGAGACACCTCTGTTCATCAACCGTCATCGAGACGACCTTCGACCACTACAGGATCTCACTCACTCAAAGGCTGGGAGACGCTCAGCCCCCGGCCAGGAGGCGCACGCTCTGTCCATCCACCTTGCCCAAGAGGCAGCACGCAGGGCCACACGAGTCCAGATGGTTCAAAGATGTCGGACAAAGCTCCACATGCGCGGAACACCTCCAACACTGAACTTGGCGGTGTGAGAGGCTTTGGACGCAGTCTCCACAGCTAGGGCCCAGGAGGCTCAGCAGGTTTCAGGGTCTCAGAACTTTGCATTCCTTGCGCCGAGAGTCCATGTTGCAGCCATCACATAAGGTCCCTTTGTGCACCTTAGCTGGGCTTCTGGCGTGCTCTTGGCAACCCGACTCTTGCGGCAGCCCACCTGGACCTGGAGCCTACAACCTCGAGCTCTGCACTTCAAACCTCAGCACAACCCCGTGCCTCTTGGCCGTAGCAGAGCAGTCTGCGGAAGCTCCTGCAGCACCGCGCCAAATCATGTCACACGGCCCCAAAACAAACCTCTTCAGCCGACATGGAAGCGCACTGTACCCGTGCCCTTGAACTTGCACGGACGTCACCTGCAGCAGGCAATGCCGCCTGTTCGGTGCACCTACCAGCTTGCACGGGTGAACACGAATAGGCAAACTCGCGCTTTCTGATTGTAAACAAAGGATCTGGGAACAACTCTACGCTGCACCTACCACCTTGGCTGGTCCTTCATGCTTCTCATGCGCACATCTAGGAGCTAATAACCCCGAGCTTGAGCGTAGACGGGGACTTTCGCTTCAAGACTGCGAAGGAAAAGCCTCAGCATCATCCTCCTCGGTCGATGCTGTACATGTGGATGTGGGCCTCGTCACATCCCAGTCATCCCGCGCATTCTCCGTGACATGACAGGTGCATTTCTCCGCCTGGGCCGACGTCGCTGCTGCCTCTCTGCCAAGCCTCCGTCGCTGGCCCGGCAGCTCGTGGGTGCGAAGGTCTCCTGAGTCTCCTGTTCCATCTCTTCTGCAGACGCCAGCTCCTGGCAATTTCGCAAGGAACGCCGTGCTCACAGCAGAAGGATTGCATGTTGAAACTTGAGTGAAAGGAAGGCTGTGTTCAGGGTTGCACATGTCTAGATCACGGAGTCGGGATGATGGGCACGCTTCGGCTGTAGTGTGTGTGTGTGTACTTGCAGCACAAATTGCACTGTCCAAATATTCGGGAAGTCGGACACCACTTGCCCATGGGAAAACAACGATGTGCAACAGACCCAAGAACCCAGTCATTTAGCGACGTTCGGGATCAGAAGTCTTGAGGATGGCCTTCCATCTTATGACTGCCAAGGCTCCGATTCTCTGTTCGCGGGCCCTTCCGCCAACAGTGGCCGATGTGAATCGGTCCTGCATTTGCCAGCTGTTCTCTCTCTCTCCTCTCCAGGCTAGCGGTTTGCGCTCGGACCCTTGCTGTGCCCCTGAACAAGCTGATCTTCGCGAATGCAGGGTGGATATCGGTAAGGAATGAAACAAACCTGAAGGAAGCTTGCATGAAGTGCTGAAGTCCTGGCTTGGCCCGCTTGGCTGGAGAGCGTGGCCGCGGCAGCTGAGCTTTCCGACATTTTTCATGGCTCGCTGATGCAACAGGGGCTCTTCCTTGCGCAAAAGCTCCGTGTAACGGAATCTGCTCAATGCTAAACACGTGTGGTACTCCCTGCGCCCGTTCGTGGAATTTGTACACAAACGTGCTGCAGAAAGCCAGGGAAGTGTTGTCTCAGGCTATGGGTGTTCAACTGTTCTTTGGCACTCCAACTCTTGCACATTTGAGTGGTGGCGTGCAAAAATTACTGTAGAGTGTTTCTCCACAGCTTTTTGAAACAGCAAACAGTTTGTGCTTCATGGTGGTCGCTCTGGGAGTCAGCAATGGGGCTACGGCCAAAGTCATTGAAAACATTGCGACTGTGCCTGTGCGAACTGCCTTCATTTGTGCACAGAGAACCTGCTAGGACCTACTTCTTTGTTGGTGCCGGTCCAGTGACCATGGATTCAAAAAATGGCTGGTTCTTGTCTAGATCCAATCAAAAAGAATGTCGGGCTGATCATGTTGATGAGCATGATGAGGCATCGACCCCCTCGACATTGCCGTCTTTGCAGTATTGGCCCATGAGGTCCATGAAGCACTCTTTTCAGTGTGATATAAAAGTCTCCGGTTCGTATTGGCTCTTGTGGGATCCTTGTAAGGTTCATTTTGTAAAGCTATAGATGGTGTGAGGGTTTCGGGCTTAAGATTTTGAATTTCGTGTTCGTGTCTTGCCCCGCTGGACTTCATGCCTTACATTCGGGACTGCCGCCAAGGTTTTTGCAGGACTACAAGGGTGTAAGCGAGCGCGAAGGCTGTGAAGGAGTTTTAAATTGTTTTTTGCCCTGTGTCCCGCCTCGCTTCCCGCCGCGCATCCAAAGCGTTCGAGTTAGCCCTCAAGCTCTGAGCCCAAGCCTCACAGCCCCAGACTCTATAAATCTTGAGCCCCTTCAGTGGAGGCATGCGGGGCCTAGTTTTGGGACACGTGCGAGTTCCCTGTGCAGCAGGATGCCACAACTCTGCAGATTCATGTCTGGCCGGTACTGCGAGACCCAAGCTTGATGTGAACGACGACCACGGTGGTCGTTAAATGTGGGTGCAGGTCTGCGCACGCACTCATGTTCCGCACATGACGAGTAACCTGCTCGGTAGCAAGCCCAAAATCACTCAATGCGGATTGCGGCAACTGTGCAGTCACAAAACATGACCTGGACCTTGCAAACCCAAAACCTGAAAACCTACCTTCAACATAATCTTGGCACAGGCTCACATGTCTGCGAGATGGCTTCGTTGGCGTGGCTAGGATGTGACCGCCACGCCCCCTTCAAGCAGCAAAAAGTTTTCAAAAAAACGAGAGAAAACCAGAAAAATCCAAAACGGTAAAAAGTGCAATCCAAATCACAAACATGACTGCCAGCATGAAGGTTTGTGGCATGTACACAAGAATAACGTCACTCCTCAGCACGTCACTCCCCTCTACGTCCCTCTCTGTTTGTCTAAGCTCGACGTGAATTATGAGGGGGAAGATCGTAGAGCCATCCCGCTTGAGGACTGCGCAGCTACTTTCGTGAGTGCGTGGGCTGGCGCAACAGGACCAAGGCTGTTGCATACATCCCCCCAGGGGCACAAAGAAGACGATGGGAAAAAGAAACGCAAATTGCAATAGACAATTAGCAGTAGAAGTAGAAGCAGTAGCAGTAGTAGTAGTAGTAGTAGTAGTAGTAGTAGTAGTAGTAGTAGTAGTAGCAGTAGTAGTAGTAGTAGTAGTAGTAGTAGTAGTAGGAATAGTAGTAGTAGTAGTAGTAGTAGTAGTAGTAGTAGTAGTAGTAGTAGTAGTAGTAGTAGTAGTAGTGGTAGTAGTAGTAGATGGGGACCTTTTTCTGCTGCAGGCACGGACTGTCTTGGGCTGGATAGAGGAGTCCCCGTTTTGGAGATCCACAAGAGATCCGCAGCTTCCCACAACAAGAGCTTACAAGCCCGCCTCTTTAAGGACCTCGGGCTCGAGCTTCGGGCATGTCGCTGTCGGCTTTGGTACAAAGCCGGTCGGCGAAGAAAGATAACACGGCCAACAGGCAAGCAGCGCTTGCCCAGAGAGTTGCGGCTTCGAGGCCTGCCAGATAGGCTATACGACAAAGCTCAGCCCCGCCATAGTAGAAGCCACAGCCAATGGCAAAGAGCACCAAACTCTGAAAGCAGTCTGCCAGGGTCCCTGGGTACATGGGCGCGGAGAAGCGGTCACAGAGAAAGACGCAGAGCCTGAGCATCATCGCAAACCTTACAGGGACACTGAGGCCAGACCGAGCGAGAGCTTTCTGATTCAAGGTGAGAGCCGACAGACTGGGCTTTTCTTTCTTGGCTTTGGGCTTACACGTCTCGAGCTGTGCGTGGGGGGCCGTAAGCTCATCTTCTCTTATCGTTCCAGCTGTATCCCCTCCGGAGGATGCTAAGGCTACTACAGGTTCCTGAAGGCTTAGGGAGTTCTTATAATAATACTACTAAAAATTCACAAAACCAATAATAATAAGAAGAAGAAGAATAAACAAAAAAAATTAATCATAATAATAAGAAGAAGAAGAATAAACAAAAAAAATAATCATAATAATAATAATAGTAATAAATAGAGTTCATAGGATGTTTTCGCAAAGGGGCCAGCACACATAGAAGCCGAAGGTGGCGGAGATGGCCCAGCAGGCCACCCAGTATCCGGGCACCCCTGCACGAGCCAAGGCGATGGTGCTGTCCTTTAGGGTTTAGGGTTTAGGGTTTAGGGTTTGGGGTTTAGGGTTTAGGGTTTAGGGTTTAGGGTTTAGGGGCTGTCCACGGATGCGCTGAAGGTGACGGCGGTGATAAGGAGAAGGTACTGCAGGGGCATGAGCTCCCTCCTTGCCTAGGATGGTCCTTAAAACCCTCACTGAATAAAATATTCCTGAATAGGATCCTCTACCAAGTAAGGGAAAGTTAAACAAAAACGTCCCAAGGGCCTACCGAGCTGCCAACAGCTCACCACGCAGAGGTCCGCGGACATACTGCGTGAAGAGGTCCTCAGCAGCGACAACTGCGACAGCTCTTCCTGCTTGGCCTAGCTTACTTGGCCCGTGATGCACGGCAATGCAGTTCACTCCTTGCTCCCATACCACTCAACGATTGCCCGGTGAATGAACTCACGGTCAAACTCTGTGCGGCACTCAGCCTTAGCTGCGCAAGTGTTTGGTTTTTGGAAAGCTGATTCTTCACAGGAAAATATGTTTTGGTCAGGAAGCTCGCTCCAGATCGAAGGTACGAAGGTCTGACACAAGCTTGAGCTTTGCAAGGTTGCTCCGACGAAAAAGATGCATCAGCACATAGATGGGCGTTAGCCTTCAGGGAGGCGCGATGCAGTTGAGCTGACTGCCACACACACACCACACACATAAGCACGAACAAACACACAATCACACAAGTGCAAGCATGTGTTCTCTTTGAGCCAGACGGCGCAAAGAGGTAGCTGAGGACGCGGATCGCCCCAGAGTTCGTCCAGCCAAAAGCAAAACCCACGTCAAAGAGTCCAGCCGCAATGTATGTCGCAACCAGGCATCTCAGAGGCTCTCGCGCTTAGGGTTTAGGGTTTAGGGTTTAGGGTTTAGGGTTTATGGTTTAGTTAGGGTTTAGGGTTTAGGGTGATTTTGCAGTCCATGTTGGAACTGCACTGAGGTGCCTTCATGCTTGAAAGCTTTCTTGCCTAGATAACATCCGAGTATAACAAGCATACGACTGAACCTTGTGGAAATTCTGAACAACCACAAGTCGACACAATTAAAATGATCACGCGCTCAGCAGCATGTACTTTATATTCTTGTAACTATATTAGCTACAGAAACTATAGTAAGTATAGCATCCAACAGTTGTGCCAGAATGCAGGAATGTTCCGGCTTCCACAAAGATCGGCGCCAGGACGGTCCTGGATTCTTGCCGTGTTAGAAGTTTAGGGTTTAGGGTTTAGGGTTTCAGGGTTTAGGTGTGGAGCTTTGGGGCCTAGCTTTTCTTGTTTTTCGTCTTCGGCCTTTTTGCCACCCGTCTATGTTGCTTGGGGCTTAGGGTTTCAGGCTTCAGGGCCTGGGTTGTAGTCCCTGAAACAATGCAATATTTGGATATTTGGTGGCACTCATCCACAGCACCTTCAGATAACTGGATCCTGGATGCTTCGAATCCAATGTAAACGAAGCGCACACACACAAACACAAACACAAACACAAACCCAAACCCAAACCCAAACCCAAACCCAAACCCAAACACAAACACAAACACACAAACACACAAACACACAAACACAAACACACAAACACACAAACACAGAAACACAGAAACACAGAAACACAGAAACACAGAAACACAGAAACACAGAAACACAGAAACACAGAAACACAGAAACACAGAAACACAGAAACACAGAAACACAGAAACACAGAAACACACAAACACACAAACACACAAACACACAAACACACAAACCCACACGCCCACACGCCCACACGCCCACACGCCCACAGGCCCACAGGCCCACAGGCCCACAGGCCCACAGGCCCACAGGCCCACAGGCCCACAGGCCCACAGGCCCACAGGCCCACAGGCCCACAGGCACACAGGCACACAGGCACACAGGCACACAGGCACACAGGCACACAGGCACACAGGCACACAGGCACACAGGCACACAGGCACACAGGCACACAGGCACACAGGCACACAGGCACACAGGCACACAGGCACACAGGCACACAGGCACACAGGCACACAGGCAGGCACACAGGCACACAGGCACACACGCACACACCAGTCGTCCCAACAATACCCGTTAAACCCCTGTTGATCTCCGTTAAAGACCCTAAACCCTAAACCCTAAACCCTGAGCCCTAAACCCTCAACCCTCAACCCTAAACCCCTAAACCCTAAACCCCATCCCTGCAACAGTGCCCCCCATCGACCCCCAACCCCCCCCCAGGGAGCCCCGTATCAGTAGGCTTTGAACCCAGGTCCTCCCCTCCGGGTTGGCCATGCGGTAAGCAG